GAAGGTATATTACAGACCTGATAGGCCTGCCATGTTCTCAGGGCCAGAGTGAGCAGGGACACAGCCGGGTGGAGGCATGTCTGGCCTCGAGCTGTCTTCCCAGTTGTCAAAGGTGCTGGCTGGAGGTGCCCTTGGTCCCTCACCCCAGCGTGTCCTGAGAGCAGCTCTCACCAGCCCATCCCTCTCCAACTTACCCAGGGAAACGGGCTGACCTGCTGGGAGCTGGCTCATTGTTTTCGTTGGATCCGCAGCTGCCTAACTTCCAGGAAACCGCCTCTGCCTGTGAAGGGAAGGAGAGAGAACCGACGGGCAGGGGAGGGAGGTGTCAGAATTAATGCAGGTGACAAAGCCAGCCAGTGATGAGTCGCTAACAGAGGTCACGGCAGGGAGGTATCCTGGAGGTGCTGCCCTCGCACTTCCCCTCGCTGCTCCTCACCTGGGCTCCTAGGGCAGCTCGGGCACCCACCACAGGCCCACATGGTAGCCAGAAAGCACAGGGCAGGAACCCACGACTGCTTCATGGCTCCTGCCATGGGCTCTGGTTAGTTAGTGAGCAGAACAGGTGAGGCCTCCCTTAAGCATCACCTTCTAGAGGGGAGAGATGGGTCGGTATTCAGGTAAGCGAGGTCCTTTCATTGCGGTGAAGCTCTAAAGTTAGGTAGAAAAGATCAGGACAGAAGTGGGGTGGGGATGGGGGGTGTCTGTGTGTGTGTGTCCATAGAGGAACACTGTGAGGTCATTACCAACAGCCGGGATTTCGGGGGCTATTGGTACCCTGTCTGGTAGTGTCTAAACAGTTGTAAGGAGTAAATGGTTATTTTTATCAAAACCAGTATTAATTGCAGTACCCCTTTTGCACAATGAAAGGCTAGACCTCAGCTTCCTCCCAACTGGTTTATCCCGAATTCGTGGTCGGGCTCGATGCCTGTGCTCCCGGGAGAAACGGCCCGTCTGGGAGGAAGGAAGCAGGCGGCAGTTTGTTTGGGAAGCAGCTGGGTTTACCGCCCCTCAGCGTCATTCCCCCAGGGGGTTGAATGTGCTGGTGGCTCAACAACATGGAAAGGATGGAAAGGATGTACTTTTTAAAACATGCTCTTCAGCCTCATGTCATGTGGAATCACGTAAAGAACTTGTTAATTCACCATTACCGTGAAAGGGAAGAAAGGGGAGTATAGTTGAGTCCATGGGAATGGAATCAATAGAATTTTAGGAAAACAAATGGAAGATAGCTATGTGATAGATTTGAAAGGCTTTTTAAAAAATACTTTATTGATTTCAGAGAGAAAGGGAGAGGGAGAGAAGGATAGAAACATCAATGATGAGAGAATCATCAATTGGCTGCCTCCTGCACGCCCCACTGGGGATCGATGCTGCAGCTGGGGCATGTGCCCTGACCAGGAATCGAACTGTGAGCTCCTGGCTCACCCACTGAGCCCACCAGCTGGGCTGTGCAAGGCTTTTTAGTAAAAATCATTGAAGACAGTGGAGGTGCGACAGGAAGTCTGTCCCCCGTGTTGTCACTGTATTCTGCTGGCTGCTCTGCAGTCGCCTGTAGAGATGCTGTTGTTACACAACAGTTTGCAGGTCTGGCTCAGGCCATGAAAAGTGTTCCTGAGGGAACTAGAAAATAAATTTAAACCACACACACAAAACAACAGACAGGAAAGTCACAGAATCCCCCATCAGCAAAGTCACGGGCTTCCTCTCGGTCCCAGAGCAATGCCTTACGATAGGGGGAAAACAAGCCCTCTGCACAGAATCGCCAGGGGAGACTTGGTTTGGCCTCCCAGTGAGCAATTCCTAACCATCTCCTCCTCGAGCGATGGGCCTGCTTTCGCTGCCGTCTCGCTGTGTCGTTACAATGACAGGTAGGTCCGATTCCCTTTCCACAAACGCAGCCTCCTTTGCCAGTTTTTTCAATGAACCTTCTTTTCCTGGGAGTAGGTTGGGAAGAGTCTGTGAGTTCTGAGTTGTGTCCTTGTCACTGGGGACACTGGATCTATACTGCACACTGGTTTGCCTGCTGGGTTTTTCTTATCAGCCCCACTTGAGTGTGTGTGGATAACCACAGGAAGCTCTCAGCCCCTGAGGCTTCCCACCAGGGCGCCTGCAGCCACCGCCCTGCCCGAGCCGGCCGCCATGACGCCACTGCGAGGTGGAGACGTGTGTCATGTGTTTGCTGTGTGGTCAGTCCCTGGCTGGTGAGGGACTCTTCCTTCAGACCCCACGTTCAGTACTAACCACGGGATTTCATAATTCTTCTGCCGTTACTTTCTCACACAGCTCTCAGACCAGGGCGGTGATGGCATTCTGGGGTGGTGTTTTTTCTGCTTCATCTCACAGAGTGCCGGAAGCCGGTCCATCCTTGCTGCTTGACACAGTCGCTGCAGGAAAGAAACATCTGCACAGCATATGTTTCAAGGGACCTGGCGTATATAGCATACTGTTCTTAATATGTTTGCTCCCCTTAGCGCTGTGTGTTTTAACCAAGGTCACCTCTCCAAGAAAGGTTGTTTCCCCAGGTAGGAATTTTTCCCTGAAGTCAGGGAGGGGATGCCTCTCCTAGAAAGGTTGCTTCCCCAGGTAGGAATTTTTCCCTGAAGTCAGGGAGGGGATGAAACTCCTTAACTAAGTGCCAGGCGGGTAGTTAATCACTACAAACAATCATGCTTAAGCTACATAATCTTTACTCCCTGGAATGGAGATAAGAAACGCCCTAACCTTTGTAATAGAAATTGACAGGATTACAGAGGATTTGGGGCATTGGCGACCTGGCATTAGAAATGGTTTATAGCCCGGCCGGCGTGGCTCAGTGGTTGAGCGTCGACCTATGAGCCAAGAGGTCGCGGTTCGATTCCTGGTCAGAGCACCTGTCCAGGTTGAGGACTCCATCCCCAGGGTGGGGTGTGTAGGAAGCAGCCGATCCATGATTCTCTCATCATTGATGTTTCTCTCTCTCTCTCTCCCTCTCCCTTCCTCTCTGAAATCAATGAAAATATTTTTTTAAAAGGAATGGTTTATAATTGCTATCTTTTCATTTTTTGTTTTAGAAGTTTTACTTTTTGTGAGTAAACAATATAGTGCGTATTACCAAACCTTTAAAAAGTGCAGAAAAGTACAGAGTGAAAAGCCCCTCTCCCCTTGCCCACCCAGTGTCCGGAGGGACCTGGCCTCAGCGGTTTGCCATGTCCTTTCAGAAATACCTTGTTCTCTCTGTGCAGAGCCTTTACAGACAAGCGTGTGCGCAGCGCTCCCTAGTGGCGGGGAGTAAGTCAGCACTTGCCACGTGCACTGCTCATTCCGTCCTCACAGCAGCCGGCAGGACAGCTTACAGTGGTTCTCAACCTTCCTACTGCCGCGACCCTTTAAATACAGTTCCTCATGTGGTGGTGACCCGCAACCATAAAATTATTTTTGTTGCTACTTCATAACCGTAATTTTGCTACTGTTATGAATCGTCATGTAAATATCTGATATGCAGGATGTGTTTTCAGGGGTCGCGACCCACAGGCTGAGAACCGCTGGTGGAATCTCTCACTGTAGAGGTGATGTCAGGTGGGGCATTCACAAAGCCCGCGAGTGACGTGGCCTTCTCACACCGCCTGTCCCTCCCCCTCTGCTGCAGCACGCGGGGTTCAGGCGGAAGAGGCCTGCTGACTGCATTCTGCCTGCGCTTGCCCGTCCCTGGGGTGCGAGGTCTCTGAAGGCAGCAGTGGTGTTTTATCTGTCTTTCCTCCCCAGCCCCTAGGACAGAGGGTGTCCAAGAATAGGCACCTGGTAAATGGTGGATGATGTCTTGGTTCCATGCTACTAAAACTGGTTTCTCCGCGATTTAACAGGTCCATCTTGTTTTAATGCTGACGGGATGCTGTGGGAACCTAACCCTTGTTTATATCAGTTAGCCTGTGGTGTACATGGGTTCGCGGTCTCATTTCGCTTCAAGGTGCAGAACTCATTGATGCTGTTAGTGAGGGCGGACTGTACTGGGAGCTCCTTGAAGAGAGTGTACTCTACAGCCATCTCAGTCCTGGTGTTGCCGCCTCTGCCTGCACCTGTCCATCCCTCCCTCGGATGGACAAGCTTCATCTCTCTCCTCTGTAGAGTCAGCACCACCTTAAATCCAAGAGACCCAGGCACTGGCTCAGAACAGTGACGAAAGCTGCACCCCAGCTGTAGACGGCGCCTCCTAAATACCTTGTCCTTTTCACGAAATCTGGGTGCTGAGAGTCAGTTTTGAGCAGGATAGTCACAGATCTGCCCGCATTGACCTTATATGTTCTGGTCAGGGAGACAGAACACACACATAAACAAACTGGATAGTTTTAGATCATGGTAAATGCCATAAAGGAATATAAAAAGGAAAATTTTTTTAAAGAATATAGCAAGGAAGTGAACGCCAGTTGTATAATCTTCTCCTTGCTCTGACCGAGGCATTTGAAGAAAAGTCAAAGTAAGATCTGCCTGCCCGGCCGGCATGGCTCAGTGGTTAAGCATCAACCTATGAACCAGGAGGTCACGGTTTGATTCCGGTCAGAGCACATGCCCGGATTGTGGGCTCCAATCAACGATTCTCTCCATCATTGCTATTGCTGTTTCTCTCTCCCTCTCCTTTCCTCTCTGAAATCAATAAAAATGTATATTTTTTAAAAAGTAAGATCTGCCATTTCAGTAGGAGGGACCAGGAAAGTTATAGCTATGATCCAAGGCATCATTTGTACAAGTGTGGGTCCCCTGCAGCACCCCGTTCAGAGCACAGGCCCTGCAGCCACTCGGCCTGAATCCAGGCAGCAGCTCTCCGCTCAGGAGATCTAGAAGGGCCAGCGAGGCTGCCTGATCTGGAGGCGTCCTCCCACAGGTGCCACGGGGGGACCTGGAGGTGTCCTCCCTCCGGCAGGTGCCCCAGCTGCTGCCTGGCACTGGTGCGTGGGGAGTGCCCGCAGTAGCGGCGTCCTGCCCTGTGCACGCTCCCTCTAACGGCTCCACCTTTGCTTTGTCTTCAGCTCCAGGGGCTGAGCCACAATGTGATCTTCACCTTGGACTCCCTGCTGAAAGGAGACCTGAAGGGAGTCAAAGGAGTGAGTGTCTGGAATCTGATTTTCACTGTAACTTGAAAGGATTGGGGGTTTTTTCTCTTTTAAGATCATCGGGGTACTGGTATTTGAAAGGCACTGGAACATTTTTAGCATAAAAAAGTGTTGGAAAAGGATCACGGAAGAGTGTGCCACTTCACATGATGTTATTGACCGAGGAACAAAACCAGACACTGGAGGAAGCGCGAGGGCCCTGGTGGGTGGGGCAGGGCTGGGCTCCCTCACTGCTGGACCCGCGGGCCCCCTGGGTCCCACATCGCTGACGTGTGGCCAGGATGCGCGCCCTGCCGATCTCAAGCCTCTCGCTGGAATAATGGTGTGATGTGTGTGCAGGTGGCTTTTGTATAAAGTTTCCAGCGTCCCACAGAGGAGAGTGGTTTTGCTAGGATGTTATTTCAGAATTATTTACTCGCCTTTAAATAACAGTACATTTAATTTCAGTTTCGTTTTCTTTTTTCTAAGGATCTCAAGAAGCCATTCGACAAAGCTTGGAAAGATTATGAGACAAAGTTGTAAGTGGTTTTTTTTTTTTCCTTTGTTTTATATTGTCATGATTTTCCTAAGAAAAAGATTGACTGGGAAAAGTACAGAGCCCTTAACTTACAAGGACGAAAACTTATGTCGTGCATGCTTGTAAGGGCTAAAGGTTGGCCTGCCTGGCGGGTTCCTGTAAGGGGTCGGGGAGGCCACGCGCGGAGCCCTGGACGTGGGCCCGGCGCACCTCCACGCGGAGCGTTGCACGTGCCTTTATTAGTATGATCCCAAGTCGCCTGACACCGGGCTGTGCGGGGGATGGGAGGAGGAATATATTATACAGCACTTAATAAAAACCTTGGCTGACAACCCGACAACTATAAACATAACAGAATAAAAGCATTTCCGAAGGCGGCAGTAACAGCAACATGACAAGCAAAAGAAACATTGAGGATTAAATATTTTTCTCCGAAACTACTCTCATGATTGCTGACGTAATGGTAACAACTGCGTCGTCGGAGCCTTGCTGTCTTAGGAGGGCTGTGGTGCACTGACAGTTAGAGATGCAGCTGGGAAGAAAGAGGCTCTGGCCGTGGCCCGCTGCCGTAGATGGAGGCTGTGGGCCCCTCGTCCTTCTCTGAGGGCGGGGCGTGAACGCTCACGGGTGGACCGAGCACCGCCCTGCCTGCAGGTGGCGGCGTGCACTTGGCCCAGACAGAACTGAGTCCTGACAAAGGGGGTGTGAGTTCACAAAACGGGAGGAAAACACTTGCTCTAGACCTGTTGTGGGATATAGCTCCTCTGTGGGACGCAGGCACAACAAAACAAGATGTGCTTTGTCCATTGACGTACTGCAGATCTGGATGGTACAACAGTAGTTACATAGAAATAGAAGGCCTTGAAGTGTCTGGTGGTCAGTACTGTGCATATCCTAGAACAGTGGTCGGCAAACTGCAGCTCACGAGCCACATGCGGCTCTTTGGCCCCTTGAGTGTGGCTCTTCCACAAAATACCGACTTCTGCGCATGGGCCACGACGTTTCAATCGCACTGTACGTGCGCACCCGTATGTGGTATTTTGTGGAAGAGCCACACTCAAGGGGCCAAAGAGCCACATGTGGCTCGCGAGCCGCAGTTTGCCAACCACGGTCCTAGAACATAAAGAGTTCTTAGATGATCCTGCATGTTAACTCTTGTGATCACGTGGTTCTCATCGAAAGGAAGATGTGCGTGCGTGTGTGTGCATGTGCGTGTGTGTTAATGGTGGCATCTGCTTCCATTCCAGCACGAAAATTGAGAAGGAGAAGAGAGAGCATGCGAAGCAGCACGGGATGATCCGCACGGAGATCACGGGGGCCGAGATCGCGGAGGAGATGGAGAAGGAGCGGCGCCTCTTCCAGCTGCAGATGTGCGAGGTGCGGAGCGACTTCAGCCCCGCGCCCAGAGTTTCGTTAGCGGGGCCCTCCTGTGGGCAGCAGCCTTCCTGCCTGAGAGCGGCTGTCTCTGACCCGGAGAGGAGGGACAGTTACTTAAGGACTCTAATCTCATTTTTCTCCAAGCCTTTGGGATCGGCCCTGTCACTGTTGCCTCCTGTTTTGAGCCTGGGGCCTGTGGGGCTCTAAGCCAAAGCAGGACTCTTTGGTGAGAATTTCACTGTTGCCTGTGAATGAGTGTGGAAAAGGCAAATTTTGGTAACACGGGTGAATCTTAGGTTTCACTGGTACAGGTGTCGAGCATGTTTGTTTGTTTTTAACCCTGTGTCTAGTTTGAATGAAAGCTTACATGCAGGGGTCATTGAGAACGCCTCTGAGCTCATGAAAAAATGCAACGAAAAGCATGCTGCCTTCAACTTAGAGCAGTGGTTCTCAAACTGTGTTCCCACTGGACACCGGCGTCCTTGACCGACACTGACTCATGGGATTCCTTTTGTGCTTTTGGGAAACTATGAAAATGGATAGGATTTTCTCACTTTTAAGGTTTCCTTCCTTAATTTTCCCCCACCCCAATAAACCTTTGGCTCCTTCTTGAACTTGTCTGCTCATGACACTCCCACACAATGAGACACGCGAACAAGAGGCAAACAGTGTTGGCAGAAATCCTCGGCCAGTTGGGAAAATCAGAGCTTGTGATGTTGGTGCGTAAGTTACTGAAACGTTTTCATCCTTTCATTTTTATTAGCAAAAGTTCTAGCTCGCCTCCTTGGTCTCAAAGTTTTAATGCCTCATGGCATATCCCTTCGAGAGCACGCTGATTCCCTTGTTTTCAGCCAAGAATAGTCCATCTTGCAGGTCTTGACCCTGTGAACCCTAGGTTTGAGAGCCACTGCGCCAGAGGAAATAAGTCAGCTATCCCAGGATGCTTTGCTGTGTTGATTTCTGCTTGTCTAGTAAACTAATCACGGGTGTGTATAACATGCTGACGTGCTAACCAATGTCTACTAGTGCCTGTGCCGATCACACACCCTGAAGATAGCCGAGGCCAGTACCTGGTGCAGATTCACATGGGGGGCTGCCCCCCGAAACCCTGCCCGGAGAGCCCTGTCGGCAATGACAGCGTCCACCTCTGCTTTATTCCCACAGTATCTCATTAAAGTCAACGAGATCAAGACCAAAAAGGGCGTGGACCTGCTGCAGAATCTCATCAAGTATTACCACGCGCAGTGCAAGTAAGTGGCAGGTGGCCGTGGTGACTCGGAGCCGAGGAAGGGCCCGCACTTCAGTTTTCTTGCTTCTTTCCTCTGGTCTTCATTCGGTCACTGCACAGTGACATGAAGGCCTCCCACAGCCAGGTCATAGGCAGTGAGTGGTCTTGTCCATAGTCAGTGTTTTCTATCAATCAGCCACTCATATTAGTGCAGCTGCTTGGCTCCTGGAAACGCTGCAACTCAGAAAGGCTGGTGTTACTGTGACGGCCTTGCGGCCCCTCCTACAGACACTGTCCCTGTCACTGGAGAGGCCTTCCCAGTGCCCCGCTTCCCTCCCTCCTTCCTCGGCATCTCACCGGTTACAGCGTCATTTGTACCGCATTTTCCTGCTTGGGGGTTTGTGATATTTTTCACCCTCTACATTAGGTGAACGCCATCATTCGGGCAGTAGGAACACTCTGCACTTGTGCCTGGGTTGCTGGAATATTGTGAGAGGCGCCCACGGTCCCCATTTTTGTTTGTTCGCCTGGCCAGGCCCCCTGTTTATGACGTTTGAGGCTCTGCGACACCACATTTGCCTTTTCACTCCTTGTTTCCTTTCCGGGTTCGCTTTTGTGGGCTTTCTGGTAATTTTTACGTGAAAATGTACCTGTTTCCCGTGTTCGATTCTGGCCAAGGGCACATGCCCGGGTTGTGGGCTCAATCCCCAATGTGGGGCATGCAGGAAGCAGCCGATCAGTGATTCTCATCATTGATGTTTCTATCTCTCTCTCCCTCTCCCTCCCTCTTTGATATCAATAAAGAAATATATATTTTTTTCAAAAAAAAAACACAGTTTATGTGAAGTGCCAAGCGTGCTGGGCGTGTGGTCAGTGCTCAGCCATGCCAGGCTTGCTACCCCTCAGGGTGCAGTAAGGCACCTCTTGTGTCCATGGTAGGATAAAGCCTTCCGGGTCATCGGTGTCCTGACCCCACATCCCGTGCCTCACATGCGTGTGGGGACTCGGGACGTGTGGGAACTGACTTTCCTCCGGCCTCTATTTCTGGTCCCGTCCCTCTCTCCTTAGAGTGTCCAGTTGGGGCCCATGACACCCCACTAGTTAGTGTGTCCTTTTCTCTCTCTTGAGCTCACATAAGGCACAACCAGGGGAGTTGTCGGTGTGCGGTGACAGCGACTGCAGTGCGTTGTCTGTGTGACGTCTGCTGGCATGTGGCGGTAGCGCCCAGGCGTGTGTGTTGGCACATCTTTTACAAAACACTGAAATCCGTTTTATACGTGTTTTGTGTAGATACATAGTAAGAGGGTAAATTGTATTTTTGGATTTTTTAGGTAATTATGGTTCATTTCATTTTTGTACTGCGGGTAAGTCTCTGATGTTTTCCATTGTAGTTTCTTTCAAGATGGCTTGAAAACGGCTGACAAATTGAAACAGTACATTGAAAAACTGGCTGCTGACTTATATAATGTAAGTTCTTTATAAAATACATGCGTTTAACTTGCTTTGTAGATAAGTATCAGGAAATGTGAAATCTGTATTAGAAGAGTATTAAAGACAAGAAGACCAGTTAAGTGATGTGTCCAATAAAGACAGATAAACCTTCAGTATGACTCAGACGTCAGTGTTGGAATGTTCCAGAGTGTGTTTGGGAAGCATGGGAGGAGCGGGAAGGAGAGTCTAACGGTTGCTTCTAGATGACTCTCTGTTCAGGGTTCAGTCACATCATGGTCAGCAATCGCAAAAGGAATGTTTTGGTCGTGAAAGGATAAAATGGGCTGCCTCTGAGTAGGCAAGTTTATGGATTTGGGGGGCTTGCTTGCTTTATATTTCCTCTCTTTTTTTCTCATGTTTTGGTTTTGCTTTTATAAAAGCAAAAGGAAAACTTCTTTGAGGAAAAATACTAAATGCATATGTATAAAGGTCAACCTTTATTCCCGTAAACCACTTGGCAATGAATCGTATTGAAAGTGTATGTTTTATGAGTGCAACTACATATGTTCCAATGAGGTTTTTAGCGTTACAGATAATACCGTGTGTCTTTGTGTAACTTTAGAAAGTATATAGCTGTGTACTTTTCCTGCTTTTCTTTTAGCGAACGTGGCTCTGGTTGTGATCAGGTTCCCGTGTTCACAAAGCAGCCAGCCTTTGCCCGCGGGTAGGGCTCTGTGCCCTCACATGTGCGTGGGCCCGTGGGTTTGGTCCTCAGTCCCCGGTTCTCTTCTGGGCCTTCAGGATCATCGTGGTATCACTACCGCCTTTGGAAAAACCAGAAGCAAATAACTCCATGTTATTTCTTAACTTTGTTTAAAGTGGAACTTTAATTATCTAGCCTAGAGGTATTATTTAATAAGAAAGCATGTTGCATTATTCACTCATTTCAAAACCCACTGCAACCTTCATAAGATGAGAAAATTGTGCCTCTTATATAAAAAATGAGACCATGTGAAGGATTTGAGTAAGGAAATCGGCTATATCATTGAGTAGTTCGATGTGTGGTATATCAGGGTGAATGAAACGCTGTTCATAAACATATAAAAGATAAGTAACAGAGTAATATTTTTCTCTTGTAGATAAAACAGACCCAGGATGAAGAAAAGAAACAGCTCACTGCCCTCCGGGACTTAATAAAATCCTCTCTTCAGCTCGATCAGAAAGAAGTAGGTGCTCAGCGTCTCCAGCAGGGCTGGCCGGGCAGGCGGGGCTCCTGATGGGGTGTGGGTGCCTCCCAACCTGCAACGGGGGTGCTGACAGCTTCCTGCCAGGGTGGGGTGGGACAGGCGAGACACCAGACACGTGTGCACCTACTGCACTGCCCAGGCTAGAAGCCGTGTTTCATTTCCCTTCCCTCCTACGGAAAAGGTGTCCTGAGCCCCAGCCTACCCTCCGTGGCTCGGCTTTCTGTCCTGGCTTTGCAGATGTGTGTTTCAGGCGTGTGTCTTCTCCAGCTGTGGAGGGAGAGGCAGGGCAGCGCACACCCCTGTGCTCCTTAGCTCGTCTCTCTTTCCGGGCAGCCGCAGGTGGGCGGGGGAATAGAGAAACAGTCTGAGGCACAGCCTATAGAAGCTGTGCCCCCCACTTAGGAAAAAGGAGGTGCGAGTCTTTGGATACTGAGGTGTGGAGTATACGGAGCATGGTAGCTGTTAGATGACTGCTCAGATCCTTAATCATAAATCGTATTTGTTCATTTGTTGTGCAAACGTTTAATTAGTACCTACAATGTGCCAGCAGCTGTGCTAGGCAGTAAGCGTTAGTCCTGTCCGTTAAGGGGGTCATCACCTGGTAGAAAGTGGAGAGTGTCAGCCGTGTGAACAGGAGTTGTACCTAAGTGGCGTGGACACTGTGGGAGAGATGCCAGTGAGAGGAAGCTGCAGAGATGCAGAACTGCCTGGCAGCGTCAGCGGGCGACGTTTGGGATAAGGTGGGTGGAGGCGTGAGATGTGGTTTCTGGGCAGAAAACCCGGGATGCCCACTGGAGGGGACGGGCTTCGAGCTGAGAGTAAGTGAAATAGCCCCAGTTGCCACATGGAGAAGGTAGAGACGTGCCTGTTTGGATCGTGACATTATTATGCATTGAATTTAAGTGTGATCTCTTCAATGCAATATTTAATAATTATAAAATATAGCATTTTTAATTCTGATATTATCTCACAATGCCAACTATTTGTCATCTCCTGAAATTTCTGAAAGGCATTCATGAGTCCAAACAAAACAGAGTGAGCCCCCTCGAGCGTGGGATCCAGCCCAGCACCCCTGGTCCCGCGCACCAGTCCTGAAGGTGCTTCCCTGGGCCACTGGAGCCCTCGCTGCTTCTGCCTCCAGTGTTTACATTCGCTGGGCGTTGTGAAGTGAGAGGGGGCCATAGCCCTTTAACACTGCCCCCTGCTCACCTGTGGACAGGTGTCAGTGCCGGGTGACGTGTGCTGTGCGCTCCCATCATGCAGAGCCGCCTCGGCCAGCACCTGCACCGGCCTCACAGGCCGCCTTGAGGGTGCGACCACTCAGCATAAGAGCAATAGAAAGATCCAGATTGTGGGGGGAAGAGGTAGATCTCTGTCTAGAGAAATTTGCAAGGTTTTGTACTGATTCGTACGTACTTAACCACTTCCTACCTGTTTTGCCACAGGGATTACTTCCTACATATGGTAGCTTTCCTGAAAAAGAAAAGAAGCTATTGTAGGCTCTCGGTTGTGCATAGAGACCGGTGTATTCTGCTCATGCTAATAACTAAAGGAAAAGTTGCATACCAGTACAAGCCGAAGGAGTGTGTACATGCGGAAATGCACACACGCGGCTTGATTGATTTTAACTTCGTGCCAAATCGCTCAATGATGAGTTTTCATTAGCACCGTGTCCAGAGTATTTTACAAGTAAAATTGATCTCTCACAGCATGCCTAGTTGCCTAGTCCATTCTCATGCTGTTTATCATCTCTCGTTGCAAGCTATGTTAAGAAGGTAGTGATTTTTAATGATTTCCGTTAAACATGAAAGGAGATTTTCGGCCAGAGATTTCTCACCCTAGTTCTCCGGTTCCAGAACGTGTAAAGTCATCTGAAGACTGGCCCGAGAAAGTAAGGCCCAAGAAATCACTGAACAGCCTCACCCCACCACCAGGCTCGAACTCCACTCAATTAAAGGAAGCCTCATGAACTTGTGTTGTAACTAGGACTCCCAGATTTGGGGTAGACTCATATTTTTTTTTCTCGTGAAAACAAAATTCTCTAACGACTTGTGGCAGGTGTCCTATGGAATTAGGCATCTTAAGCTTTTATAGTAGCGCAACCTCCCCGAAGAACTGTTTGCTACATGAGTATTTTTTGAGATGAAAATGTTTTATTTTTGAAGATGATGTCCATAAATTATCCCCAAACCCCCAGCTTTGTGTGAGCCCCTCTCGGTAGCGCACCGTCCTGGGGTTTGCAGGTGTCTGACAGATTCTGGGCTTGACTCATCTGTCCTCACAGCACCTGGCACACTGCCGGGCACCAAAGCTGCTCGGTAAATAGTTAGTACACGGAGACAGAAGGAGGCCTGTGCCCGCCCCATTCATACAGTAGAGATGAAGCTCCCCTAACAGAGGTCTGTCCTCAGATCGGGTGCCAGAAACTCTTAGGACCCCATTAAACCAATGAGTGTGTAATTGCTTGCAGTTTAAAAAGACTGGAGATTTTTTTCCTTAATAATGCATTCAAAGGTTTTCTAATAAAGCCAGGTAATCTGTGCTGCTAACAGAGAATGGGAAATTGAACTAAAAAATGATACCGTGTTTCATTCTACAGCTTACGTTTCTTGGCTCACCTCATGCAATTTCCCCAAGGTTTTATTTTAAATTCATTGTTTTTAGTTTTGTTTCATTTTGCCTGAATGATTTTTTTTTCATTTGCATTTTCTTTCCTGAATACATGTTGAATTTTATTATGCTGGCAAAGGATTCAGCACCTACTTCATTCCCTCAATTTTGTTTTCTTTTGTTTTCATTTAGTGTTAACAGTTCTCCAAGGTTTTCTTTCTCAGAAAAGAAAACCCTCTTTTCATGTATCCGGTGTGCCCTGCTACGCAACCTGAATGACCATTATCTCTCAAAGTGCAGAAAGCATCGTTTGTATGACTTTCTTAAGCCATAAAACTCATTAGCAGTTAATTTGGGACTGCTTCATGCTAGACTTCTGAAACAGATTGCTTCTTCCCTGTTCGGGTTAATGGAATAATGTTCTGAGGTCAAAGCCTGGAGTTCAGCCACTTCCTTTACCTTTAAAAGCATCTTTGTCTAATGTGAAGCAAGGCCCATGCGATATGTTTGTTGTCCAGAATCTAGAGTGTATTTAGGCTTGTAATAATTATAAGTAAGGGAAGTCTTAATGGCACATTTACAGGATACAGTAGTTTTCCTAAGTTATCAGCATCTAAATTCTTGTTAAATATGTAAGCGCTTTCATTTTTTAAGCATAGGACTTATTTTAAAGGTTAGCAAATTGACTGAGATTGGAGAGGCATAATTTTTAAATGCAAATGGAAAAATCATAATTTTAAATCCCGACAGAGTAGGAATTACGTGGGCAGACACAGAGAAGTGCAGTTTGGTGAAAGGGTGCCAACTTTTAATAAGAATTGGGATCCAAGGAGAGTGTCGATTTTGTGCTTCATGTTCTGGAGGCAGAGAGATGGCGAAAATCCCCGAGTCCAAACCCACAGCGGAGCGATTTTGATGGTTTCGTCAGGTTCAGGCAGCCAGTTCTGTGGATTGCAGCATCTGGCCTTGTGTTTTGTCCCACGCCCCCACCCTCTCCAGCCCCATCCATTCTCCGTCCTAATTGTGTCCCTACTGTGGTTCCCGGGACTGTCACTAGGGGCGCTGTAGAGGCAAGCTGCTCTCTGCTGTCCCTCAGTCAGCTCTCCAGCCAGAGGCCTGGGCACGCCTGTCAGGGAGGCCAGCGCCAGCCAAGCCCCGTGGAGTCCCAGGCCCTGGGCCCTGGGGAGGCTCAGCTGCAGGGGATCTGGCCGGTTAAAGACAAAGAAGTGACTCGGGTTAAGAGAATGACTGGAGTTTGCAACCTGTTTAGTAGACTCAGCTGCCTAGAAAGGCGCAGGCAGCCTCGTGGCCTCGCTCGCTCGGGAGAGCACAGTGAGTGGAGAGTGAGTCCCCGCCTCAGAGACGGGCTGTGTCCCGGGCAGTGTCCTCAGGGCCTGCACGGTGCCCGGCTGTAGGGGTTCGGGACGCGCCTCTGAGCACAGAACTCGTCACATGTAGAACAGCCTTAAAGGAGCGCTGTCCTCACTGAGGCCAGAAAGCAGCTCCTGCCCTCAGGCCTGCTGTGCACCAGCATCAGTAGGCACCCAGGCTCAGAGCTTCCCCCTCCTCTCCGTCCCTTGTCCGGGGTTGCTTAGGGACTGGATATATTAAGTTCTCTTCACTCGGAAAAGCAAAACAAAAAGAATCCTGAAATTTGTTGTGGCTTTTTTTTTTTTTAAATCCTCACCCAAGGATATGTTTCTGATTGATCCTAGAGAGAGGGGGAGACACATCGATGTGGGAGAGAAACATCATTCGGTTGCCTTCCATACGCACCCCGACCGGAGATCGACCCTGAAACCTGGGTATGTGCCCCGACTGCGAATCAAGCCCGGAGGGACCCTTGGTGCTCCGGACTGCGCTCCAACCAACTGAGCGGTGGCTCTGTTTAGATTTCCTAAGTAATTCCCACTGGGCCTCACTCGGGTGCTGATGCTCTGTGCACACACTTTGAGGTTTGTCAGCCGTGTCATCTTGGGAATGTGTACCTCCTGTTTCTCTATTTTGCCTTTTTTCTGTTCTCACTCAAAATTTAATTAATATAGATACTTTATTGTGCCAAAGTTTATCATGGTTCTAAAGATGCGTGCATATGAGTTTGTTCTAGTGTCACCTTTAAATATTTTCTCTGTATGTTATAAAAAGTGCTTAAATTATGAGTTATAAGACTGTCAATGAAATTAACTATATTTTCAAATGTTCTGCCTTTTTTCTCTGTTGCTCTTGCCCTTCCTGATCGAAGTCTAGGAGAGTAAGTCACCGCTGTTTGTGAGAATGTGTTGTCCTATTTCTGTTTGCAACCCGTTTCTCATTGTACAGTTAGTTCCACGTTAGATTACTCCCTGCATTTCCCCAGTAACGGCGGTCTGGTGGTGCCGTCTTTACAAAAACCCCGGGAAGCTCAGTGGCGCCCCAATATTAAGTCAAGCTCGGTGGTATCCATGTTGTTCTCGACCCTTGTCATCCTTTTAATCACACAATACACTTGTCACTGCAATCCAATCTTTTTCATTTTTTTTTTTTTCATTAAAAGCGTGGTTGTGAGTGTATTTTGCAGAGCATTTGTTAGTTACAGAGCAAGAACTTTATTAACAGTTCTTACTACCTTACTCAGAAGGTGCACTTCTTATCGTGGGTGTTCCACACCCCGCAGAGCGTGCGCAGGGACGAAAGGTACCCCCAGGGAAGAGCACTCACCTTCCGGTTGCATGGACTTGGATTTGCGGTCCTCCGCGTGCCTGCCTGGCTGTCGGTGTGACCTGGGGTAGCCATAGAATAGTCCCCCGCATGTTTGAGGCCGAGCTGGGATCTGAACTGGCGCTAGGAGGCCCGGACCCCAGGCCCCAGCTCCGCCTTGAACTTGCTTGTGACTGCCCGGCTTCCTCCTGTAAAATGAAGGCAAGGACCTGACCGCCGCGGGCTGAGGCTCAGAGGCAGAGCAGAGGCAGGGACCTGAGAGGCGTCTCCAGCGTATGACTCACCTGTGACTCGTCTCTCCTAGGACTCCCAGAGCCGCCAGGGGGGATACAGCATGCACCAGCTCCAGGGCAACAAGGAGTATGGCAGCGAGAAGAAGGGGTACCTTCTGAAGAAGAGTGACGGGTACGTACAGCCCCTCCTCGTGCCCTGGGTGCTCAGCTCCCTTCCTGAGCGTCAGGTCAGGTTACCCACGGGCTTTGCCCGCCTCCCATGGGGGAAAGACACTTACAGTGAGTCCCAGATGAGCCTGCTGCTTGAGGAAGCAGCGGCTGTTCGATGTCTCTGTGTGGCACCTGAGACTTGTGACGCGAAGTGTTAGGAAGGCAGGAACCGAGGAGGACGTACAGCAAGCAGGTGGTCTGACTTCTTGACCCCCCGCCCACCTCACCCCACTCCACCCCCCGCTTTTATTCCTTGCTGTTTCTCTGCCTGGGGTGCCCACCTGACCACCCAGACCCCAACCTTGGGCGTCAGCCTTGACTCCTATCTTCCCTCTTCCATCACAGCCCGCTTAGCAGCAGCCCCTTCCATTTCTAACGAGAAACAGTACATTTCTTGCCGTCTCTGCTGTCCAGCTCTAGGGGAGGGGAGGAGTCTCCTGTCACCTCTGGGAGGCCCTCTAGGCTCTCTTCTGTGTGTTCATACACATATTTCTTTACCCAGCGAGTCTGAAGTGTTTTTGAGGGAGAAAGCAATAGAAACATCAATGCTGAGGGAGAATCATTGCTCAGCTGCTTCCTGCACGCCCCACACGGGATCGAGTCTGCAACCTGGGCATGTGCCCTGACTGGGAATCGAAACTGTGACCTCCTGGGTGAGGTTTTTATTTGTAAACAATACAGGATCATACCTGAATTATCTTAAAACAGCTTGCATTTTTCAATCAGCGATATGCCTTAGAAACCTACACAAGTCACATACATGTGAGTTCATACACACTTCCTTCTTCTAAACTCGTACAGAATGCTCTGTATGAAAGTGCCCGTGGTGCTTTCGTTCCTCCTGCTCTCAGACCAGAACCAGTGCAGTCGGGAGCCTCCTGGGCAGGCCTCCTCCCGAGTCCCTCCCCCTGGGAGAGTGAGGGGCAGCCAAAGCGTGTGGCTGCTGTGGCTCGGGTGGTTCTGTGCTGTAATGACACACGTATGACGCTGTGTGACCACGTGTCCCCGAGTGAACGGACCCTAACCCAGCTTGTCTGCCTGGCTCTGCAGGATCCGCAAAGTGTGGCAGAGGAGGAAGTGCGCGGTCAAGAACGGCATGCTGACCATCTCCCACGCCACAGTAAGTGTGTCTGCGATCGCACGCTCGCCGGCTCTGCCTTTGGGCCCCGTGGACTAGAAACTGGCAAACACGTGCTGTCATGGCGCCAGAATGTTCCCCAGGCACGTTTATGTGTGGAGGCGGGTCAGATAGTTGGGATATTGTCTTGTCCTGCGGTGTCGGCCCTGCTGTTCTGTCACTCCACCAGGTCTTTGTTTGTTTGTTAATCCTCACCTGAGGATATTTTTCCCATTAATTTTTAGAGAGAGTGGAAGGGAGGGGGAAAGACAGAGAGAGGGAAACATCGATGTGAGAGAGACACGTGGATTGGTTGCCTCCCACGTGTCCCCCAACAGGGACCCAGGATGAACCTGAAACCAAGGTACATGTCTTTGACCGGGAATCAAACCCGAGACCCTTTGGTCCTCGGGCTGATGCTCAAACCGCTGAGCCAAACCAGCCAGGGCTCCACCAGGACTTTTTGTCTGTTCTCCCAAACCAAATCAGGTCTTCTCTTAGTTGATAATCCAATGTTTTGGGAGATAATACTGGTTGTTGCGAAAGCCTACTTTTCTGAATCACAAAGATGGCAGAGGATGTTCTTCGCAGAGCACTAGTTAGGTAATGTAGGAAGTGAAACAACGCATGTAAAATATGTCCAGTCTTTTTCATTGTTACTGTTTATTTAAATTACTCAGAAAGCCCACCGTTATGTTAAAGGGTCTATAAATATAACCATGAATAATAAAATTGCCTCAATAGTGACTCCCCATTTTTGAGTAACAAAGGCAATTTAATAGAAAGTGGAAAATAGCTAAGGTATTATCACTTATATTCTGTTTATCTTCAGATTGTCAGCGTATATACATACACATTGCATCCTTACAGTTGATGTCTAGAATCTGTCTAGAATTTTTATTTTTGTTTTGCATCCCCCATTTCCAACTAAAAGTCCTGTCTCGACAAAATCCATACACTTGTCAAAAAAGTTCCCTCGCCAGCACCGGTTTGGGTCAGTGGATAGAGCGTCGGCTTGCGGACTCAAGGGTCCCGGGTTCGATTCCGGTCAAGGGCATGTACCTTGGTTGCGGGCACATCCCCAGTGGGGGGTGTGCAGGAGGCAGTTGATCGATGTTTCTTTCTCATCGATGTTTCTAACTCTATTCCTCTCCCTTCCTCTCTGTAAAAAATCAATAAAATATGTTTAAAAAATAAATAAAACACCATCTATTAAAAAAAAAAAAAGGTTCCCTCTTGGTGGTAGTCAAAGCCATCCATAGTGAGACCAGGAATCACAATTTTGCTCTTTAAAATGAGCAAGGAATTATTTTTTAATTTTTAAAAACCATAATGGAAGATGTATCAAGCGGGAATGGAAATGGCAGAGCACCGAGGTCGTGACAAAGGCCCCTGCAGGCAGAGAGAAGGCTCGTGGGTGCGCGCCAGCATCCCGTGCCAGGCGATGCCCTCCAGTTCATTGCCCACAGGACGTAGAAGTGAGCGGCAAGCCTGTAGTCCATCGGCAGGTTTTCAGTATTCACAGCCGTGTTCCGATTTCCCGCTGTTTGAGGAGGAAAGAAAATACCACTTATTAAAATGCGCTCGAGCTCAGGCCCAGCACGTCCTGGGTCCGTGGTCAGCTGTTTCCCGTAGCTGCTTGCTGGCTTGGACCACGTGCTTTCCAGGCGTGCTTAGAATGGGCAGAGACTTAAGAGCTATCTTATCAAATGAATGAGTGGGTGAGGTTTTCAAATAGCCTTCTAAAATTTCTTTTTTCATCAATTATGGAAGTAAATGAGGGGAAATCAGATGACCAGAGAATATATTAAAATATGATATATTTCTAACCCTTGCTCTGTTTCTGACCCTCCTCTCAGAAGGAGACGTTCCCACGTGCCTGGCTCCCGCTGTTCCAGGGACAGCGTGTGGCTGGCTTCCCGGGCCTGCCCTGAAGCAGGAGGAGGGATGGGGCTTTGGTCCCCTCAAACCTGGTTCAGGCTCAGGCTCTGCCGTCTCCTTCCTGGGAGGCTGTGGGAATGTTAGTTAACCTCTCCGCCCCCTCTCTTCATTGGAATTAGTGAAAGAAACTGAAAAGACTTCTCTCACAGGTCATATATGTAAGGCCCCTGGAATGCTTTCCTTCGAGAAATATTTATTGAGTGCCTGCTGTGTGCCGGGCACGGATAGTGAACAAAACAGAGAAATGTGTGCTTTTAGTGGGAAGAACGACAAGAAGCAAATACGGGGTAATAAGAGCCAGGAAGGTCGTGCAGCAGGACAGGAGGGGAGGCTGGTCAGGCCAGGAAGCACTCAGGACATTCAGAGTCTGAGCCACCTGGAGGAAGGGAGCAGGAGGTGGAGGCAAACAGGCAGAGCGTGACCCAGGAGGGAGGGAGGCCAGCGCCCCTCCTGCCCAGCAGGGGGAGCAGCAGAGTAAGTGGCCGCAGGAGCCTGGCGGTCACATGCAGAGGTTTTTAGGAAGGTCTTGGCAAATGTTTCCTCGTTCTTCTCCTTGTTCTTTTTTCTTTCCTGTTTCATCTGAACTGTTTCTAATGAATCCCAGGGCGAGTCATTTTAGCCTCACTCTGTTCTCCGCCTGCTGAGCCAGCAGGAGAGGTTATGCCGGCTTTAATCAATATGCCTACAAATTAGTGCTGGACCCCGAGAAAGTGCTTTGAAATTCTGGAAAGTTATACAGATCTGGAATGACTGTTATTACGGGAGTAACAACCCCTGAGCCTCCTGGTGCCTTGGTCCAGGGACGCAGGTCGAGCACCCACTCCATTTTCTCATATTCCCGGCTCGGCACTGGCTGTGCCGGCTGCTCAGATTGTCAGAAATTGTGTGGGATTTTTTGTTTTTTTTTTTTTTTTTTTGGCTCCTCAAAGTCACACTTGGGGAGATGGTCATTTGTCAGCTGTCTTGGGGGAGAACAAGCACTGTGCTTAGGCAGGCTGTGTCTGTGTCCCTGAAGTTCATGTGAAGGCCTCAAAGTCCATCCCTTGGGAATCCAATCATGAAATGGCTCAAACCGTATCAAGCCCTTATCCTCAAGGCTTTCGGGCGCTGTGCTGTGAGGGAGTCTGTGCGTAGAGGTGAGTGGTGCTGTGTTGTTCCCCTGAATGAGTGAACGCTGAACTGGAGTATTTTTCCTTTTCTTTAAGTTTTCTGTCTGTATTGGTTGTATCTGTCGCTAAGGCTGTTCAGAAACACTGGAGTAACCTGGATTTGGGACAAAAAAGAAACCGTCTAGTTAACCCTCTGCCACATTCAGAGGTGAATGTGTCTAGAAAATCCTTAGGTTTTTCAAAGAGATTTCTCCTTCGGTTCAGAAACTTGAAACCTCTTATTATGCTTCATCAGCTTAAGCTTGGAAGTCCTTCCTTGCGTCTGGCTCCGACCTCCGCCTGCAGTTCGAGTGCCTTTCTTTTTGGTCTGAGCAGATGGAAAACAGCTGCCAACCTGCCCAGAACAGCCCCATGGGCTGGAAGATAGTTATTAAGTCGCTCCCTCGCCATCTTTCCTCTGGACTAAATAGTGCCTTTCCCCATCTTCAAAGTCCCCATTTGCCAGTCCTTTAATCATCTCTCGGTCTTCCCTAAGCTTTTCCACATCCTCCTTGACACGTGGATGCCAAACTGGAGCATAGCATTCCCCAGAGAGCCCGTTCCCTGGGATGGCTGCCTTCAGGGCATCGGGTGCCCTGTCGTCCACCTGGGAATCCAAACAGACGCGCTGCAGGACCGACTGTTCCTTTTACAGCGGCCGGGCCTGGGTGTGGGTGCAGCCGCCGGTGAGGAGTCTGAGGCCGCTGGCAGCCCAGACTCCAGGTCTGTTCTAAGCAGAGCGGCAGTCCCATGGCCCGCCTCCTCCTTCGGGATCTGGCATCCAGTGTGTTTCCCCTTAGGCAACACTCTCCTGACAGGGCTCTCCTGGTTTCCATGTCTACGTCAGACGCACGTGTGAGGAACCTGAAATCCCTTGGCTCTCACTTCCGCCCGGACAGCTGGCTTTGGAGCCAATGGGCACAGGACAAGGGGCTTGTTTTCTGTGTCGAATCTCATTGAAACCCCAGAGAAGGAAGATCTCGAAAACTGTCCAGAGAGCACAAGAAGGTGGACAGGAGGTGAAGTGTCCGTTGCTCATCACTGAGCCAGAACTGCAGCGTGTCACTGAAATCGTCTCCAACACACGCCGTCTCTGTGGGTCAGGGCTTCACTTGTCACTGTGACGTCCCCTACCTCCCCGCCCTCTGTTTTTTCTAAAAACTTGGGGTGCTTGGGTGGAAAAGTTGCTGGCATGGGGATTTTGAGAATCATGAGTGTCAGTGGGCTTCTGGTCACGCCCAGCCCGGGCACTCAGACGCTTCAGTCCGTGGTCAGCTCCTGCAGGAAGCAGACAGGCTGGCCTCAGCATTGGCCAGCGTGTGACCTTGAACAGATGCAGGCAGGAGGTCAAGAACAAGTGTTGACCAGAATGATTGCGTGGCAAGGCTCCACGTAGGCGAAGCCTAAATTAACGTGGCTGTGCACACACCACAGGGTCTGTGTAAATTATCCGTGTGACCAAGAGATGTGCTGATAAATCTGTGATGTGAAATCCTGGCTACATTGTCTGTCTTCAGATGTGGGGGCTCACTGAGCTGTGTCTCGAGGGTGGTAGTTGTCCTTGTACTTGAGAGAAGTTCTGTGCATTTCACATTGCAACCAAAGCTTGTGGCTATCTGGGACACCAGGTTGGGGTGATTGTTGACTGGGGCCATTCTGAATGAATGAGTGAATGAATGAATGAATGAATGAGATGTACTCCACTACATTTCACAGCTGGATGTGGTATTGGAAGTGCCGACTCTTTGGCCTCGATGTGCATGGGGTCCAGAAAGGTGCATTTCCATGGGCCGTGCCCACTCCTCATTTAAAGGTGGATTTTCCTGGTTCCATTCTGATTAATCACCAATATAGTATTTAGGTACGACTAACAGACATTTAGTAGACCACCAAAAATTTTTTCTTTTTTAATGAGGTTCAGAATCCTGAGTGTCCGAATAAGACTGTCACATTTGGCCCTGGCCAGCTGTCAGTTGATTAGAGCGTTGGCCCAGTGTGCCGAGGCTGCGGGCTCACTCCTCGCTCGGGGTACATGCAACAATCAGCCAGTGAATGCAGAAATAAGTCGAACAACAAACTGAAGCGGGGGAAAGACTTTTATCAAATTTGCTGCCTGAAACCGCATGCTTGCCCCGCAGGGCACTGGCCTGGCAAGCGGGGGTAAGGTGCAGCAGGTAACGACTCCGTTTTCTCTGTTCCAGGCTAACAGGCAGCCAGCCAAGCTGAACCTTCTCACCTGCCAGGTGAAGCCGAACGCCGAGGACAAGAAGTCTTTTGACCTGATTTCACGTGAGTCCCTCTTCTCTCCGGGTCAGTTCCTGTGGATCCTGATGTTGCTCATTTCCATCCCCAAGGACTGGTGCGTGCGAGGCTCTTGGCAGGGCACCTGAGCTGGATTCTGGAGCACCTATTGAAGTTCGGAGCCCCTCTGATTTTATGACCAAGAGGTTTCTTGGGTTATTAGTGAGAAGTTAGATTTATAAGATGACTTCAAAAAGCCTAGACCTCTCCATTTCAGAACCTGTAGGTGATTAACCAGTTATTGAGCATCCAGTGTGTGCTGAGTGCTTTATATATGTTATTGCCAGTCCTCACAAAAGCCCCATTGGTGTCCTGTTTGACAGAAAACAGGCTCAGAGAGGTTCAGTTACTTATACAAGGTCACACAGCATTAAAGCAGAGATTCAGTTGAGACCCTTGGGCTCTACTGCCCATAGTGTGTTCTTGGGCATAAACACCGTCTCCAGGAGACGGGGGTGTGAATGCCTAGCCTGGAGCGGCCACATAGTGCGTGGCTGGCTAGTTGAGTGAAGGTTAGTTTGACTTGACTGTGTTGAAGCGTTCTAGCGGATTCTGAATTTTACGCAAGAGCTTCCCTTATATACACCTGCCCAGACTATCGAAGTTAGGCCACGCCCTCCTTCCCTGGGCAGCGGCCTGAAGGTGACCGTCGAGCAAGGTCAGGCCTTCTTTCTTGAAGCTGATCCTCGCAGAGAGCAGCCCAGCGGGGAGCTTTTTGACTGAGCCCTGCTGTCAGAGCTGCCCTGCAAGTTAGGAACTATTTCCGAAAAGGAAAGTCTTTTTTAAAAGAAACACAATAAAAGGCAAGTTGAGAATGAAAAGTAAAATACTGCATTGGCAGCTGGCACTCTGCAGCTGTCGCTAGAACCCACTCGAGCAGGTAGGACCATCCCCCTCCCACTTCTTTTTCCTAAGTGCCAGGTATCGGCGTGGTATTGGCAGCTATTTTATTGCATTCCTGGGCACTTTAGAAAAATAGTATTGACAACATGAACTATGTAACTGCTAAAACAAAGTGGCGTAAAAACAAAATAATTTTAAAACCCTACTTTTACTGTGGGTTTTTGTTTGTTTGTTTTTAGGAACTTGCAAAATTTACATTAGACCTGAAGGTATTCTGCTTTCTAAGGTTTCACGTTCTTTTCTCTTTTGTATTTTAGATAATAGGACGTATCACTTTCAGGCAGAAGATGAGCAGGATTACGTAGCGTAAGTAGTTTTGAGCTAATGGCACCGCGCGCGCCTCCGTCCTGTACAACATGCGTAAGGATTTCCGTTATGACTCAGCACCGCCCCTGGCAGTTCCCCACGCTAGCTTCTCCCCTCCAGGCCAGCCCACGCTGCTCTCTCTCTGTTCTTCATCCGCCTCCAAGTTACACGGAGGAAAGTGTCCAGTAAAACTGAACAAAGAAATCACTTCTCACCGAGGAAGGGCTCAGGGGCAGTAAAAAGAGCAGCTGCGTGTTCGAGGTGGGCCGGCCTGACCCCTGGTCCCGGCTCTGCCCTTTTGAAAGTGTTAAAATACAATCATGCATTCTTCTTTTTCTTGCATTTTTTATGCCTGTTACTCTAAAATAATCTAAAGGTTTTTTTCTTTAATTGTCAGAAATAGCTGTTTTGATTCTCCACCCTTTTGAAATGCAGCCATTCCATTTCACCAAATTTGAATTGTTCCTCCAGAGAATTCATTGTCCTTTATATTCGTATTTTCTGATTTTCATGACAGACTTCTTTATTTCCTTACTTGTCATGAGCTCTCGAATAAAGAGGCAAAAATGGCATAATGGAAGGAACTCTGAAAAAGGGAACCATTAGAAGCGTTTTTGTCCCAGTCGGACACCAGTCCACTGTGGACCCGGGCAAGTGGGTTAGCCTCTCGGGCTTCACGTTCCTCATGTGTAAGGTGTTGGAGGCCCTGGGAGGCGGGATGGAGGATTGCGTTTAAAAATTCTAAATACTTGGCACATAGTAGGTGTTTGTAATACTAAATAGGCAGGACATCAGAAGGCTTAAGGAAAGCAAAACAGAGACCCTGCAGCCAGTGAAAACTTCAGTAAGATCAGTGCCAAAGATAACATGTGGTGTCCGGTCCTATTGAGTCCGGTCTCTTAAACTATTTTTAACAAATCAGTTTGTAGTTTTTAACTTGAGTCAAAACGATAGAAAATATGCAGTTTAATTTAAAAGGTATTAAGTGACATTCCCCCCCCACACACACACACACACTGTCCCTAGAGTGTTGGTTTTGAGGTGTAGTTTTCCACATCGCAGTAGAAAAGCTAAAGCTGTGCAAATGCATTTCTCACAACAAACTTAAGGTGAGCGCCACCTGGAGCCAAAGGTATGAATTGCACCTCAGGGACTCCGTGTAGTTTGGTTTGTCCTTTCCTTCCTTCCCATTGCTGTCTCTATTACTAATTCAAAACCTTCTGTAGATAGTCCTTTGTTTCCTATCCATTTGATCCTACACGACACCAAAAAAAATACAGACTCCGTTCTGGACCTCTGTATTCTCTGCTGAGAATAGGTATTACCTGACTCTGCAATCGGTGAGAACAAACTGTGATTGGGAAATGTTTTTTCTTTTTTCTTAAAAAAATAAATTTGGCTCTTTTTCCTCTTCCATGAAAGTGATACAAGCTCCCTATAGATGGAAAATTACAGGAAGGCACAGAGTCAGGCAATCCATCTGTCCATTTTCCTACAGAAGGTCACTCAGGCACAAGCGGTATTAATATTTTATGAATTTCTTTCTAGCCATTTTTACCCCAAACAAAAATATATAATCCGTACTTGCATTTAAATTTGGGGTTATATCATGCAACAGTTTTTCCTGTTTATTTCACAAAATATTATATTGTGAGCATTTCCCCAAAGTCATTAAAAATTAGAAAAAATTAAATTTCAGTAGCTGGGTTATTTCTGGCCTTAATCAGCCCCTGTTGTTGGGCATTTAGGTTATCATATGCACAGGTTGGTGGCAAATGTGTTTTGTTCAAGACAAACTGTGATCATACTGTATATGTCATTTAATAGCCTTCACTTTTTGTTTTATATTAAAATGCCAGCATGTTTCCATATTCATATACCTTTTTCATAGCATAAATTTTCTTTTTTTTTTCTCTAATTTTTATTTATTTATTTTAGAGGGGACAGCGGGAGAGAAACATTGATTGGCTGTTCCACCCATATACACATTCATTGGTTGATTCCTGTATGTGCCCTGACCGGGGATCAAACCACAACCGTGGTGTATGGGGATGGTGCTCTAACCACCTGAGCCACGCGGCCAGGGCTCCTGAGCATAAATTTTCTCGACTTCTAATAAAATATCCTGTTTGTTTCCACGTCAAGGGCCTCACTGAGTTGGCCTCCAGAGGACTGATGCCTTTTGCTGAGCTCTTTCCTGCTCCTGTCACCAGTTCTTTCTCATCCTCACCTTGGGCTGGTCCCTCGCTGAGTCCTCTTCTCTCTGAAGTCCACTCTGTTCTGTCCAGATGTCCCTGCAGGTCCTCGATGATAGAGCCCTCCACCTCCCTCATCTGTCCTCTCATCTGCCGTTCTCTCTGACTCACTGCTTTCCATCCTTTCCATTCTCTTTCCTTTAGGTTTAATTGCTTTCCTTTTCTTCCTACTTGATTGTTAGGGGGAGCGGTGTCTCTTGGTGTTCCTTGGTGAAGTCAGATTGGTTGCAGTGTAAGGAGAAAACAGTGTCTCCTTCCCCTGTTCTGACCACAGGTGGATATCAGTGCTGACAAACAGCAAAGAGGAGGCCCTGACCATGGCCTTCCGTGGAGAGCAGAGCGCGGGCGAGAACAGCCTGGAAGACCTGACCAAAGCCATCATCGAGGACGTCCAGCGGCTGCCTGGCAACGACGTCTGCTGCGACTGCGGCTCCTCAGGTCTGTGTCCCCAAAGCAGAGCTGGCTTGTTAAACGCCTTTTCCTCTTCCTGTGGAAGATGCCTGAGCTAGGAATCTAAAACCCTTGCCTCCTTTACGGACACACCCAACACGGTTCCCAGCGTGAGTGACCGGGCTTTTTGCTGTACCTAGAAAGCTCCCGCCTGCTCTCCCTACATGGTCCCCAGCCAGAATGCTACCTTTCCTAGTGAGGTCCAGTTAAATGGCACCATGGGCAGCATGGGAGAGCACTGGACCTGGAGTCCATCATCCCGGCTTTGAATCACCAGCCTGCCCCTCGCAGCCTGGACAGCCTCACGCCGAGTCCCTTTACTATTCAGATCTTCAGGTTCCTTATCCTAAAAATGGATCATAAACCCCAGTTCTTACAAAGACTTAAAGAAATCGTGTAGATGGGGCTGACACGTGGTACATCACTTTTCTTCCTGCCTAGTGAAGCCTTCCAACCTCCGTATCACCTGGAATCTTCTATTTCCAAATAGCATCTGTGTTACCTAGAAGTTGACAGTAGCTCACAGTTATTCAGTGCTTCATAAGGACCGTGCTAGTTGTTTTGCTTATAGTATCTTACTGAATCTTCACAGAACTTCTGTGAGCAAGATGCTAATATTATCCCCATCTTACAGAGGAGGAAATGGGGGGCTCAGAGGGCAAGTGACTTGCCTAAGGTCACACATCTAGGAGGGGTCACAACATGGGTGCAAACCTGTAGCTCGTAAACATTACAACCCGTGATGTTTTACCTGTGAAAATGGGCTTCTCAGTCCGACATGGCATAGGCCCCTCGGAGACACGACTCGTTTCCTGCCACCCCCGTGATGTGTGGGCTAGGCACTCACTGGGTGGAGGACATGGCAGAGGAGTGTAGATGCCCGGGCACTGACCCATGGAAAGGAAGCTGGCCCACAGGGAGGACCCTGCAGGTTCGGGTAATAGAAATGTTTGTTCCTGCTGTTCCGGAGCCTTTCGGTTGTAGAAACAGAGGCCTAAGGTCTCTGAGAGCCTGAGCTCTTACCCACAGGCACTTGTGGACAGGCCGTCACCGAGATGATGGGCTCATGGGAGTTGTGACTCGGGGTTAAAGATGCCTGTAGAGCAGGCATGTCAACTCCAAGGCTAACACGGGCCACATAAACACGGTTTAAGTGTATGTGGCCGCAAAAAAAACAAAAGCTTCAATTTTCATAGAAACATAGATTTATTTCGATAGAGACATGTTGAATACAAAGGGCTGAAATAAATGAGTCATCGTTAACATAAAATAATAGAACATTTTAATAAAAATAATATTTTTTCTTGAACATGAACTTACCAGGCACTGGATAACTGCACAAATTAAGAAGTGTAACGCAAATAAACCTATGCTCTTCTCTGAAAGCGAAATATTTCCTGTTGGCGCACACCAAACGAGTCAGTCCAAGACTGATGACTTGGCCATTGGCTGCTAAAATAGTCGCTGCTAGTGTTAGTGGAAAGAAGTGGTGCGCCTGCGTGTAAGGCGCATAAGGGAAATGAATGCAACACGATTATAGTCATCAGTCATTAGCGAACATTGTAGTTCATTATTACCAATGATGTATAACAGGATATTATAAAAATTAAGTTATAAAATTTTTATTAAAATGTTTCCTACATACCGTTATATTGGCTGGGCACAAAAACATTCATTGTGGGCCACCTGCGGCCCGCGGGCGGTGAGTTTGACATGCTTGCTGCAGAGCCTGTCCCTGTGCTGGACTGTCCCTGTCGGGGAGGGTGCAGGTGCGGAGGGAGCGCCCCCACCAGGCTTCCAGGTGTTTCTGAAGGCCTCATGGAAGTCTTTCCCACGCTTCACAGGAATAAAGAACTTCATGTGGTTTTTCAATCCAGTATTGAAAGGAAATTTTTTGAAAACGTGTTTTATTACACTTTTTGCTCTCTAACAAGCTATTGGTTTTTATCATAGGCCCTCGGCCAAATGCAAGCATCTATGTCTTCCATTTAAGTCTTCCCCCATAATTCTTTCACGTTTTATCGCTGTTGTTTTAGCATCCTCTGTAGTTGGCACACTACAATTAGATACTTTGTTTGTTCACTGTCTTCACAATCCTCTCCACAGAACCCACCTGGCTTTCAACCAACTTGGGTATTCTGACCTGCATAGAATGTTCTGGAATCCACAGGGAAATGGGGGTCCATGTTTCCCGCATTCAGTCTTTGGAACTAGACAAACTGGGAACTTCTGAACTCTTGGTGAGTAGTGGCCTGTACTTTGGAAGAAAACTTTATACGTTTATTGTCGTGAATGTATTTAGCATATTGCTTTGAGGTTTCTGTTTCTGGTGAGTACACAGACTTCTACTTCCTGAATGTTGTTTAATTTGCATCGTTATTTAAGATGTGAATTTTGTGGTATGTAATGTTGACTGTTTCCGTTTCCTGTGCAAAGAGCTGGTGAGTCAGGCATTTCCATACTTAGTTCAGCTACTGGCTCTCTTTCCTGGGTGGGCTTTTTCAAAGCTGTTTTTTCTTTCAGAATTAGTCTTACATGACTCACTAAAAAGCACAAAGGGAGGTAAGCGCTGAACTCCCACATTCGCTTTACCTATGGGCTCATGTTATCCGAAACAATGACCTAAGAGTTTTTCTGTTTTTACTGTTTGTTTCTAAAAGTACTCGTGAATTGCGAGTAGCCTGTTAGCTCCTGTCCTAAAACCAGTCACTCCTAAGCCTTGACTTCATTGGGTAGTAAGGGAAGGACTATGCAGGTGTGAGCTTATCACCTACCCTTCCCATCATGATTCACCCAAATTTGGGAGCCTTATCGGGTCCCCCCAGTACATAGATCCGGTCGGGAAGGCCCCCTGGGCATCTCCCAGAATGCCTGTGGTCAGAAGCCCTGTCTTGCAAAATTTGAACCTGGTGGCCTGGGATTTATACTAACTGGTCTGTAACAATGAAAGCGCGTGACGTGACATAGGCTCTGTCTCAGACCCGAGGCCCTTGAGCAAACCCTGAGCGAGCCTGGGCCCCCCAGCCGGAAGCCCAGCTCCTCAGGCGCTTGTCCGGTGCACAGCACCCCAGAGTCAGGCCCCCAGCCGGCAGCCGTGTCCTCTGAGCACCCCGTGAGCAACGGGGTCTGTCTTGGGTGTGGGAGCCCCTCGATTTAGGGAGCAGGGAACTTAGGAAGTATTCTGATACCAGCTCCCCGGTCACTCAGGACTGGAGGGGAGAGGCTCAGGGCCAGCACCTGAAACTCCCTCCTTTAGTGTGGAAACGGCATCACCCCATCTCCTTGACTCGATTAATGAAGCCCAGGGTGATAACTGGGAGCAGGAAGAGTCCACATGCTAAACACTCGCCACGTGAGGAACTCACGCCTTTCCCCAGAGACGGCTGTAATGAGCGTTCTTACACTTTATATTGATGCCTACATGATCTGAACGACCAAAGGACCTTCAGGATAAATTTTTTTATAAGGTTCTTGAACCCAGAAGCGTGGAGCTTCTTCATTAGTTGCCTGCCGCATCTTTTTTGTTTGTTTGTTTTAATCTTCACCTGAAGATATTTTTTCGTTGCCTTCAGATAGAGTGGAAGGGAGGAAGGAGGGAGGAGAGGACAGGAGGGAGGCAGAGAAAGAGAGACATCAATTGATTGCCTCCCACTCATGTCCTGACCAGGGTGGGGGGGGGTGGGGGGGACAGGGAACGAACTTGCAACCCAGGTATGAGCCCTTGACTGGGAATCAAACCCGCAACTCTTCGGTTCGTGGGCTGACACTCCAACCACTGAGCACCACCGGCCAGGGCCGCATCTTAATTTGTGTCACAAATATAAAGGAATTCTAAATTCTTTTCTGTCCAATTAGAGTAAACCCCTCAACCAAAAGTGAGGCACGTAGTAAGTGCTCAGCAAATGCTTGTTGACCAGATGGATCAGCGGTTCTCAACCTGTGGATCCCGACCCCTTTGGGGGTCGAACGACCCTTTCACAGGGGTCGCCTAAGACCATCAGAAAACACATATGTAATTACATATTGTTTTTGTGATCAATCACTATGCTTTAATTATGTTCAATTTGTAACAATGAAAATACATCCTGCATATCAGATATTTACGATTCATAACAGTAGCAACATTACAGTTATGAAGTAGCAACGAAAATAATTTTATGGTTGGGGGTCACAACATGAGGAACTGTATTAAAGGGTGGCGGCATTAAGAAGGTTGAGAACCACTGAGATGGATGGATGGCTTGTATCCTGAGTCAAGTGAGGAAGGTACATATTCAGCAATAATAGGGAACTTTTAAACCAGTAGTAACGAGTTTGCTATGTTGTGTTTATGTTACAGTTGGCCAAGACTATTGGGAACAATAGTTTCAATGATATTATGGAAGCAAATTTACCCAGCCCCTCACCAAAACCTACCCCAATGAGTGACATGTAAGTACTTCTAGCATACTGAATTCTTTACCATCTATCATTGTTTTTTCAACCCTCCCCAAAAACATCTTCGTGGTTATAGTACCACCCCCCCAAGAGGAAACCCCATTATGAGGAAAAGGCAGAGCAAAGAAACGTATTTTGCAACGTGCTTCTGGAATGCACAGGTTATTTTCAGCATCACCTCCCCCTCGGGATTGGCGTCTGCTTGGAGGGTGAAGCTTCATGAGGACGATTCTCTAAATCGCGCCTGTTGTGATAAATAGGAGACACAACAGCAGTGGGAGACGCCTGTCAGGTTGGCAAAGGTCCAGATGCGTGACAGCCCCGCGACGAGACTGGGGAAGCAGCCATCCCAGGGTCCCTGGCGCTGCTGGTGGGGATCCAGGTGGCACGCTGCCCGTGAGGAGCGAGCTCGCTGTATTTGTCACAATCAGAAGTGTGTTTACCTGTGACTCAGCAGCTCCACTTCTGGGGGTTCATTCCTGTTGTGTCATGGAGGAAGATGAGGGAAAAAGTGAGTGTCCTTCTGTAGCAGTGATGGCGAACCATTTGAGCTTGGCGTGTCAGCATTTTGAAAAACCCTAACTTAACTCTGGTGCCGTGTCACATATAGAATTTTTTTGATATTTGCAACCATAGTAAAACAAAGATTTATATTTTTGATATTTATTTTATATATTTAAATGCCATTTAACAAAGAAAAATCAACCAAGAAAATAAGTTCATGTGTCACCTCTGACACACGTGTCATAGGTTCACCATCACTGTTCCATAGGCATCTGACTACGTACCTCATGTCTGGCTGCCTGGCTTGGGGAGGGAGGAGGAGGCGTGGGAATGAGTGTGCAAATCCCTCTGGTCGCAGACATGCCATCCAAACTCAGGAACTGAATCGCGGGCATATTTGCTGATCTATCCCTCACTTTTGAACTCTCACAATTTAGTGTCTGGACTCAGGCAGCAAATGGATTTGGACAGCGACGAATACATAAACATACGCTTACTTGACATATTTGCTTGACAAAACCCGGGAAATACCCAGCAAACTTACGTGCTTGCTCTGGGCGGTGTGACTGTGAGACTCCTCCATACACACCTTCTGGTATCATTTTTAGTTTTGAGTCAAGTGAATCTTTAAAACTATTCAAAAATTTTTACATTGACTTTGCACTTGAAATTTGTTTAATACTGTGGGTGACTAGGAAGAACGATATCATTCTTTCTTCTCGCAATCAGTGAAAGTTTTGTGAAGCAGACGCCTGCCTAAAGGTTAGACCAGCCCCTCCTGGGTGGTTATTCGGGCACCAAGTTCACAAAACTATTAGGGGCACGTCCAAGGAGCACGTTTCTTCCACTCTGACATCATCAGATCTCCCAGTAGGTCTATAATGAAGTCTCTTAATTAAAATAACTCTTCTCAGAAAGAAGTGTTGGTCTGCAAAGATATAACCCTTTCTCAGCCCTGGGAAATGACGAGGCTTCGTCTCATGCTCTGTTTAGGACGGCACGGAAGGAGTATATCACGGCGAAGTATGTGGATCATCGGTTTTCGCGGAAGACCTGTTCATCTCCGTCAGCTAAACTGAACGAATTGCTGGAGGCCGTGAGGTCCCGGGACTTACTTGCACTCGTCCAGGTCTACGCGGAAGGCGTGGAGCTCATGGAGCCGCTGCTGGAGCCCGGGCAGGTGAGGCTGCGCTGACATCATCGGGTCGAGAGGAACGTGGACAGTCCGTTTCAAAGATGGCTCGTTATATAATGAGGCTGTAACACACCAAGTGCCCCGTCTGAATCAGGACAATCTGAGAGGGGAGGGGGGTTATTAATAATTACTTTGGGGTAACGACGTGAAGGAAACTGCTCTAGACAAAGTAGGACATGCGACCGCCTGTTTATACTTGCCTGTCCTTTGCAGGAGCTTGGGGAGACCGCCCTTCATCTTGCAGTCCGGACTGCAGACCAGACATCTCTCCATTTGGTTGACTTCCTTGTCCAAAACTGGTATGGTTTCTGTTTGCTCTGAATGGGCCTTGTAAGTTAGCACAGACCAGTGCTGTTAGCAGCCGCGATCAGTAATCAGCACACCCTTCTTAAAGAGCCAGATACTACTTTAGGCTTTGCAGGCCATGAGGTCTCTGTTGCATTCAACACTGCCATTGCAGTTCTGAAAGCAGCCAGTTATGAAGGCAGTATGCAAATGAGTGGGCATGGGCGTGTTCCAGTAAAACTTTATTTACAAAAACAAATGGAGGGCCAGAGAAGGCCTGCAGCTATGGTTCTCCAACCCCTGGTCTACGTAAATGTAAAATCCTGTCTCTGGGTCCAAAACCTCTGCACTTGGGAGATTGGGAAAGAAAAGACTTAACAGGGCAGGTCCACAGGATGTTCATTGTAAGACAGCAGTGCGTGTGGCTGCCTCGGTCGCTGATTCCGACTTGGGACGTGCTAATGGGAGTATAATAGTCAGCACAGGAGCTTTGGACTTGCTGGATTCTTCCTGGGGTAGATCTGTAAGCCACAGAGTTTGAGGAGGAACCGGAGCTCATGTAAAGGAGAGTGAGCAAAACCGTGAGGGCGTTGAACCCACAAGTGACCCAAGCTAAGCTGTATCAGTGCCCAGGCCCCTTAGAGGTGCAGTGGTCGAGACCACTGGTGAAGAACACGCGTTGCCTGCGTTCACATCCTTGCTCCATCATCCATGTCTTGGTAATCTCACCCGCACACTGTGCTCTCTGCAGTAGCACCTTGTGAAGGTTACATGAGCTCAGACAGGGGAAAGCCGAGAGGCAGTGCTGTCAGTACTCAGTGCTGGCCACTGGCGTCCTGTGCTTGTAAATTTGGGTGAATTTGGAAACCTCCTGAGTTTATGATAGACGGGTCTGAAATTGGACTCCGCTGTTAGCCCAGACGTAAGGGGTTCGCCCGCAGTGCCGGTGGGAGAGGCAGCCGTTTTCCCGCCGCTCTGGTTTTTCAGTGGGAACCTGGACAAGCAGACGGCCCAGGGGAACACGGCCCTGCACTACTGCAGCCTGTTCGACAAGCCCGAGTGCCTGAAGCTGCTGCTGCGGAGCAAGCCCACCGTGGACGTGGGTGAGCGCGCGCGTGGGGCCCAGCGGCCGTGGCTGGACCCGGGCTTGCCTGCTGCCCGTGATCTGATCATGTCTCTGCCTTTTCGAGGCCTGTCCTAATCGTGCACATGTCTCTTCCCCATTTCAGTGAACCAGGCTGGAGAGACTGCCCTCGACATAGCGAAGAGACTGAAAGCCACCCAGTGCGAAGATCTGGTAAGCAGCCCTGGCTGGTGTGGCTCAGTGGATAGAGCGTCGGCCTGTGGACCGAAGGGTCCTAGGTTCAATTCCAGTCAAGGGCACGTGCCCTGGTTGTAAGCTCAATCCCCAGTAGGGGGCATGCAGGAGGCAGCGATCAATGATTCTCTCTCATCATTGATGTGTCTGTCTCTCTCCCTCTCCCTTCCTCTCTGAAATCAATAAAAATATATTTTAAAAAATAAAAGAAAAAAATGTGGTAAGCAAGCTAAAATAGACATCAGCTGCCCTGAAGTAGCATTGTCTGAAACTGGAACTGGAGTTAAAAGAAGCAATTTTTTTTTTAACCTTGGCTAAAGAAATTCCGACAAGCACTCTGGCTGCATTTGAAAACACAATAAACGTGTCATCCACCTGTCCTTGGAGGGCAGCTGTGATGAGGAGCTGGGAGGCGGGTGAGAGGCAGTGTTACCACCCGGGCTTACGGGTCACGGTCATCCGGCTTTCTCTGTGGCTCCCGGTCAGGAAGACCTATCTGGGAAGCCAAATAGGCCAGCCAAGGGCAGAGTACGATGGTCTTTAAATGTTAAGCACGCTGCTCTCCCCCTCGCGTCCCTGCATGCACTCACCTTTTCCGCTCCCACTGGTCCCTGCTCACAGCTCCAGGCCGCAGCGGAACACGGTGCTCATAACCTGGGGAAGGTTGAGATAGGAAAGGTAGGTTACCTTCCCGAGCTCCAGGCCCCTGTGGCGCTTTTCTATTCCTCCGAGACTCCTCCGAGCAGGTCTGGGTGTCCCGTCCCCGTGTGTGAATAAGAACAGGGGACATGGATTGAACTGGGACTGTCTGACTTGAAAGACCCACCCCTCGCACTTCCCTGACTGATTTTGCCTTCCAGCCAAGAATTTGCTGTTTTGAGACTCATTTTAATAATATTTTTTTAAAAAATATATTTTATTTATTTTTTACAGAGAGAAAGGGAGAGAGATAGAGAGTTAGAAACATCGTTGAGAGAGAAACATTGATCAGCTGCCTCCTGCACGCCTCCTACTGGGGATGAGCCCACAACCAAGGTACATGCCCTTGACCGGAATCGAACCTGGGACCCTTCAGTCCACAGGCCGACACTCTATCCACTGAGCCAAACCGGCCAGGGCCATTTTAATAATATTTTAAAAAGCTTTACATCCTGGAGAGAAGTCACGTTATCAAACTAAAATAGACCATGCCTGGAATTCCTGGCGGTTTCTCTGAGCTGTCTGCTGGTCCAGCGTGGACGGCCAGGGGGTTGCTTCCAAAGCCGCCGCTGGTGGTTAACTGGGACCCGGGAATAGGTGGGGTTTGCTCAGTGCCGCTATAACGTTGGGGTGTTTGGCGTTTGAATGACAGTGGCTGCTCCCGCTGTTCCTTTCAGCTTTCCCAGGCTAAGTCCGGAAAGTTCAACCCACACGTCCACGTGGAATACGAATGGAACCTGCGACAGGAGGAGATGGATGAGAGCGATGACGACCTGGACGACAAGGTGAGTGTGGGTCAGCCTCTGGGGCTCTGAGTGCGTCTCCCCCGTTTCTCTGCACTAACAGGACTCTGAGTGGGGTCGCTTGGTCTTAGGACCTGATGCACCAGGGCCGTTCTCTTGGCTCAGGCCGGGTGCTCCTTTGGGTCCCACGCAGCAGCTGCATCAGTCAGGGATCTCCAGAGAAACAGCCAATGGGACGCGTATCCCTGGAGAGAGAGCATGGAATCTATTTTAGGGGGTTGGCTCACATGCACCTGAGGGCTGACAAGTCCAAAATGTATGGGCAGGTTGGGAATCCTGGCAATCTTGAGTCCGAAGGCCTCTGGAGCCTCAGGGGGCAGGTGGGGGGACCTCAGTCTTTTCTCCGAAGCCCTTCAGCTCACTGGCTGAGGCCCACCCCATTATGGGGGGTATCCCCTTCACTCCACATCTAAATGTTAACCACACTAAAAAACACCCTCCCAGCCAACTCTTAGGCTGCTGTTTGACCAGACACCTGGGCACCAGGGCTTAGCCAAGTTGACACATAAAATTAGCCCTCAAAACGGCTGACGAGTAAAGAATAAGTTGCTGTTTATCGAGCACTCGCACGTGGACTGGGCAGCGGTAGGCATGTTGCCCGTGTCCCCCCAGGTGGTTCTTAGGAACGCCCACTGTGCTCTTGTCCCTGCTGCAGAGGAGAAAACTGGCACACGGACATTTTGCAACTCGTCTGCAGTGTCAGCTGGTGGAGGCGGTCTCGGTCAGACCTGCTTCTGTCCGGCTCCCAGAGGTCGTTCTCAGCGAGCTCTGAGGCTGGCTGCGCACCCTTCACTGGGCGTGTGGGGGCGATGCTCCTTCCCAGGCAGGATGTGAGGAATGGCCAGCGCTGGCCGGACAAAGGTGCCCTGAGGCATTCCCACTTTAGAGGAGACATTTAGAGGCGACAGTGGAAACCCTAATAATGGGAATTGGGGGGTTGCTGAGGAGTGCTCGGAGGACACAGCAGTGAAGACCCGTCAAGGACGGGCAGTGGAGATGGGCTCCTAAGGTAGGGAGGAGCTTGCCGGGCCGAGGAGGAGGAATGCATTCTTCCAGGAAGGGAGAGCAGCATGTGCAAAGGCCTGGGGGTCATGCTGGAGCCCGGATGTCTGAGGAGAGGTTAGAAGCACCGTGTGTGAGGCGACCTGCATGTGGGCTGGGCGGAGAGAGGCAGGACGCCGCCGCAGGGTCAGGCCGCCCAGATCAGGGAGGCTCTGTGGGCCACATGTGACCTTTCGGCTTTGGAAAAGCCAATGAATTTTTCAAATTAACAACCAGTAGCAGTGAGGAGCCAACAGAGATTTCTTGTGGGAAGGGCATGTTTCCTACCTGCCCTGCGTCTGTGTGGAAAACGGATTGAACGAGACGGAATCGGGCTGTTCAGGGGCCATTGCTCCTGTGGGAGCTGAAGGATCCTGTGCACACAGTCCGAGGGCGTCCCTGAGCTCTCCACGCACAGCCGGTGACTGGCAGACACGGAGGGTCCTGACTCGGAAAGCAGTGGATGCTAAAGCTGTCACCAGGATACAGACCCAGGGCACCTCACAGGCATGAAAATGGTTTTGAATCCAGGAGGTGGAGTTGGGCCTGCAGGTCTGAGTCAGCATTGGGGCCAGTCAAAGCCAGGGGTGTGGATGAGGTTACTTCTACGCGGATGCAAGTGAGAAGAGAGGTAGGATTGAGAATCTCGGCTTCAAATGGCTGACCACAAAGGAGCGTTTAATGTGGCCACTTGTAGGCGGTTGGGAATCTGTTCAAATGCTGGTGGCCGTGGCCTGCACCCGGAGGGACCTACAGATTAAAGGTTAAACCTAACTGGGACCTTATGCTTCTGGCCGCTGCTGACCCCTAACCAGTGTTTCCCTAACATGACCCTGGCAGTGGTGACACGAGGATCGGAAGCGTAAGGTCTGCGTCCTTCCCTGTCCTGTGTGGTCCTCTCGGGCCAGGGTTGTGGGTGCCCAGGTTCCCCCTGGAGCCCGCCCGCAGTGGCGCCCGGATGGTTGTCTCACCCTCTGCACTGTTCTCTCCCTACAGCCGAGCCCCATCAAGAAGGAGCGCTCGCCGCGCCCCCAAAGCTTCTGCCACTCCTCCAGCATCTCCCCACAGGACAAGCTGGTGCAGCCGGGATTCGGCACCCAGCGGGACAAGCAGCGGCTCTCCTACAGCGCCTTCACCAACCAGATCTTCACTTCCACGAGCACAGACTCCCCCACGTCACCCACCTCGGAGGCACCTCCATTGCCTCCTCGAAACGCCGGCAAAGGTACGGGCTTTGAGAAGGGCCTCGTGGCTCCGTCCTCAGGGCTAGGAGTCACACAGCCTGGAGGTAGAATTGCCAGGCGCACGTGGGTGGCAGAGTCTGGAGTGGGGTGCCAGCACCAGCAGTCAGGTAGGCGGTGTTGTGGGCACGCCTCACGCATTCTGTGTGAACCTCACAGCAGTCCTGTCTGGGGTGTGCTCTTCATGCCCATTTTGCAGATATGGAAACAGGCTTAGGGAGGTAGAGTGGCTTGTCAAGGTCATGTAGCTGGTAGGTGGTAGAGTTGAGATTCAATCTGAGGTCCACATAGGGTCCAAGACCTGGGCTCTTTCCTCTTTCGTAAGGATTCTTGTTTGTGAAAGTGGCTTTCCTCTAGACCAGCATGCCTCTCTTCTGGAGACAGTGTGGCAGCAGCATTAGTTACAGGTGGAGCCCTGGAGGCCCTAGACCCAGTCTTTCCCATTTCCTGTTCACAGTGAGTGGGGTGCGACAGTGGCTGGCATTGTGGGGACTAGAGGGACAGTGGTTCAGAGATGCTGAGTGTGGGACCTCCGGTCTTGGCTGTGCGGATGCTAACCAGGCCCTGTGTGACCTGAGCCCACCCTCCCGTCCCTCGACGAGGCAGGCCGTGCGGCAGAATCCTCCCCGGAGGAGGTGATTGGCAGGCGTGTCGGATGCCCCCGAGAGGCTAATGCCAGGGCCACCGCTCTGTTCTCTAGCAACAAGTGCTTGTCCTGCACCCCTGGGTCCACAGAGACCATCCTGTGCAGGAAGTCGGCGTGTTCCCTCACAGGGACGGGGACAGATGAGGCCCAGAAATGCCCACATCAAAGGGTCCCACAGCCGGAGAAGTCGAGAGGCCCCGGGCCGGAGCCTGGGGTTTGTTCTCAGCCAGGGCTCCCCCTGCACAGCGCAGCGCAGCGCAGTGGCTCACGCGCTTCCAGGCCTCCCCGCACACAATGCGGGCCTATTGCAATCACACTGGGGCTATTTTCTGGGAAATGTGAGCTTTATTCAAAACAGTGTTTTTTCAGAGCTTATTCTCCATTGAAATGGTGCTATAAATGGGAGCTGTGTTCTTAGAGACCCCGAATGGCCTCATCGATCATAACGTAACAGAGAAAAGTTAAACGGAGGCTTTGGTGTGAATAGTTCTCATCGAAGATAACCAGTGACCGTGACTGTGACAGCACGTGTGAGCCAGAAGTTTCACCAGCAGTGTGTTTCTTACTGTTCCTCACGTTTGCTGGCACGTACCTAAGTCAGGCGTCCACATCCTCTGTAAACCACTGACGATAGATTGGGCCTTAGCCCTGGGCTGTGCGGGCATCATGTGAAACTCCCCAGCAGGGGAGCGGCCTTCTCGGGAAGCTGAAGGGACCCGAAGCATGGGCTGCGTCCCGCCTCTCGCCGGGCTCACATGCCGTGCACTCGGGGAGCGGTCAGGCGCAGAGCGAGTTCGTAGAGGACGTTGTTGCAGATCGGCTGGTGCTCAGTGCGGAGGTGGCTCCCCCTGGCTTGTGGCCCTTACTTTTCCCCGTTCCATTCTATTGAACCGATAGACACGTTTACCTGAAAGCGAGGATGTCCTGCCTGGGTGGCTCGGGCTGCCCACCTTCCGTGGCGCGTCCCGCCGAGGCCTCTGCTGGCAGAAGTCCCTGCCCTGAGAGTGAGGCAGGCTCTGAAGGGGAGGCGGAGACGGACACTAAAGTTAAAGTCCCCCAATCCTCGGACTGAGCGAGGAAAGAGGAATCATTCTGAATCCAGCTCAGGAATATTTTCCGGAAACTCCAGCTGCCTCATCAAAATGCAAGGAAGTTTGACCTCATTGCCTCCAAGCAAAGCCTCCTTGTGCTCGGGCAGAGCTGTCAGCAGCGGCAGAATCGTCGATTCAGGGCCCTTACGCCGTCCTGGAGCCTAGACAGGCACGCTGGCGGCTCCCCCTCTGCGGTGGGAGGCCCAGCGGGATGAGGTCAGAGCCGTGATTTAAGTGCAGCTCCCGCCCCACTGTGCGCTCCTGAGGACTAGATAAACCAGTGGTTCTCAACCTTCCTAATGCCGCGACCCTTTAATACAGTTCCTCATGTGGTGGTGACCCCCAGCCATAAAATTATTTTCGTTGCTACTTCATAACTGTAATTTTGCTACTGTAAACAGTATGTAATTATATATGTGTTTTCCGATGGTCTTAGGCGACCCCTGTGAAAGGGTCGTTAAACCCCCAAAGGGGTCGCGACCCACAGGTTGAGAACCGCTGCGATAGACGTTCCCAGGCTTGCCAGGATCACTGCGTCTTTCATCTTTCAGCTAAAATCAGGTCATAGGACCAGGATATCTGAGAGCAAGAGGATGCTGAAAGGTTAGGCCAGTCCACAGCCCATTGCACAGCGACAGCCCGGGGAAGGTTAAGGGACTTGAGGTCACTCGGTGGCTGCGATGGGACAGAAAATTGAAATGGGCCTTAGGACCTGTCCGACCAGATCGCCTAGATTCTCCCTCTGTGTGTCGGGGAAGACGGTCCATCTCCTCTGCCCTCCTGGTGGACTTGCCATCAGAACCCAGAGAGACCGACCACCCAGGAGAAAGGCTCTAGGAGAGCAGAGCCCGGGCTGCTGGGGGGCTCCTGCTAGGATTGCTGGGCTGCGGCTTTGGGGGGCCCCTAGAATCTGGAAAGTGTGGCGAGCACCGTGAGACTGTCCCCCAGAGCAGGCCCTTGAAAACAGACACCAGTGCTACAGCTTCACCGGGTTTTCATTAACGGTAAGCTATGGACCTGCCTCTTCCTCCCAGTGTGCGACTCCATGCCTCTCACAGCGGCGGCCAAACTGCAGCTGAGCTGGGACAGGTGTGGACACTGGTGAGGAGGAAGGGGGCATTCAGCTCAGCCTGGCATGTGGCAGGGCTGCGCGGGCGCCGTGCTGCTGGCCTGGGGCCCCCTGCTGTGTGGGGTCCTGGTCGGTCTGCGCGGGGTCCGTGTGTCTGCACACTCCAGCTCGAGGTGCCCGTTTCCCCATCTCAGCGCCTGCCTTCCCACGCACAGTTCCTCTCTGAATGAACCCATTGTCTTTACCCTGTAAAGTAACAAAGTTTCTACTCTCCAGCTCTATACTGTGAAAACCATGGGAAAGTGGGAAAATTGTCATTCGCACTGTCCACAGCTGTACAGATGCAACCCGTGTCGTTCACACACAGGTGGCGTGTTAGAATTCTGAAGTTACACAGAGAGTGCCAGGAAAAGTTGTAAGCCCTCTTCTGGGTCTTGTTTTCCTTTGAACGAGTTATATTTCAGTGGGTCTCCCTGCATGGAAGACCTGGGTTTTCTGTTTGACCAACAGCCAGAGGTATGAGGACTCTGGAAAGGAATCCGCCTAGCTTCCACCACGGACCCTCCTTAGCCCAGAGCGTGCGGGCAGTGGGGAAGGCCTGTGGATCTTGCCCGCAGGAAGCTGACGGCAGGAAAAGCAGGCAGAGAAGCTAGTGACGTCGGTCCTCGTGGGAGGTCAGAGATAAAAGCAATGGCTCTGGGCAGAGGGCTGGGTCCCAGGAGGCGTCCTGAGATGACCTTTGAGCCCACCTGACCGGGGAGGATGCTCCCATCAGAAGGGACTGCTGCCTCCCAGGAGGAGAAGCTGGAGGCTGCGGTGGCGCTGAGCCGGCCAGAGTCCCTCAGCTGATTCCCTGCAGGGACTGGCTGTCCTCCACTCCGAGCCGCGGTCTCTGATGGCAGTGCGGCAGGAAGGTGGGTTCCAGGTGGCGCGGTGAGGCTCCTGGCTGCGGGCCACCACGCCGCGCTCAGAACGCGCGGGAGCTCCACGGGACTCAGGAATGGAGGGGGAGGTTTGACAGGCATGTTGGTTGGGATTCTAGGAATGAATTTTTTAAAATATCTATGTGTGGGTGTAGTTGAATGACTTCAGGGCAGTTTTTCTGGATTTCAGTGGATAGATTTCCTGGCTTTTAAAGATGGAGCCTTACTGGGGGAGGTTGAATTCAAGCTATTCATCCATTAGTTCAGTGTTAAATTACTAGATCCAAACTACTGTACACCAGAACCTGTGGCCTGGCGAGCAAGACAGGCCATCAGCACGTAAACAAAGCTGTCATCACAGACGCCGTAGCTGATGGGAAGAAAGGCTGACATGGTATGAGGAACACCGGTCTCTTCCCTTTGAAATGATCCCAGAGGCTCGGTTTTGCTCGGTTTGTGGTTACGGGACGACCCTGGCCTGATGGCCCCTGAAATCGCCTGCACACACAGCATTGCTCAGACATCGCTCCCTTAGCGCTTTGCCTGGTGGTGTGTGGTTCCAGACAGGATTTGGAACCTATTGAATGACCTTTCGGATGCAGTGCCCCAGCGCGTCCCTAGGTGGCGATAGAGATGAACTTGTCCATTATCCAGTCCCCGCTTACTTCCAGGAGGAAGTTGCACTTCCTCACACTGCATTCGCTGCTGCCCTGGCTTTGGGGAACTGCAGCATTGCAGGAGGGGGTGAGTGCCTCCCTGTCCCAGAGGCCTGGGGTGTGGTCCCAGCTCGCCCCGTGTGCCTGCCACCCTAAAGTCTCCAGGTCCCCACTTTCCTGGCTGCACAGCGGGGACCGTAATTCCCCACCCGCATGCTTTACGGGGCCTTTATGAAAAGCAAGGGGAATGGCCTGTGCGGACACTTTGGGAAACTGAAAGCTTCAGACAAGTGCAGGGGTGCAGTCACAGTGACTGTGCTTCAAAGATAAAGTGGTCCTGGGATTGCCCTGATCTGGGGTAACGGCAGGCTTCGAGATGTAGGGCATCATCGCATTGAGAGAATAAAGTACATAGAGGGCCACTGAATCCCAAAGGCCAAGCGAGAAACCAGTTACCGACTGAGAAAATGGTTAAGTCGATGTCGGTACTGATCGGTAATTGATCATGGGAAGCGTCAGTGCTACGTCACCAGGCGGAGGCCAGCAGTGACTGAGCTTCCCTTTGACACGCAGACTGTAGAAAGCTCTTCGGGAGCCTGTCTGGATCGCAGGTACCTCCCGTCCTGTGTTCACATGTGGTGTGGCCGTGTTCTCCGCTTTTCTTTGTTTCTCCCCTTTTTTATTGACTTTTAATTTTAACGTTTGCGGGAGCAGTTATTCATGAACACAGTTAAAATGTCCGCCTGGTGACAGTCACAGAGACGTGTGTCCAGTGCCGAGCAGGTACTGCCTGGGACCCACCAGCACTTCAGTGTCACTTTCCAGAAACAAAACTAACAGCAAACTTTTTTTTCTTTCTTAAAACATCAGTTTAAATAAGTCAACATTTTTGCAGTAATGGTGTGTATGTGTGTGTGTGTGTGTGTGTGTGATATTCATAAGATTACTACTAGCCTGTCTTTGTCTCTGAAGAAACCTGAGTCTTTTTTAAAATCTATAGAAACCAATGTCTAATGTATATAACCTATTGAGTTTCTAATATAATAGGTGGTTTATGAGGTCCAGAACAATCATCAGAATTGGAGGAAGAAAGAGTTTTTGGATTTCTTTTTTCTTCTGAGTAATTCTTTTTACTTCAGCATCCTCCATTATTTAAACAAGTCATTAAAAACAACAACTCGGGCCCTGCCAGTGTGGTTCAGTTGGGTTGAGCATCCTCCCATGGACCTGAGGGTGGCGGTTCCGCTCCCGGTCAGAGCACATGCCTGCATTGCCGGCTCGATCCCCGGTAGGGGGCAGGCAGGAGGCAGCAGATTGATGTTTCTCTCTCTCTCCTTCTCCCCTCTCCCTAAGATCAATAAAAATATATTAAAAAAGAAAACTTGGGCAAAGTTTACGGACTTAAAGGCAAGACTGTGGCGGAGAGAAGAGTCCTATTCTGTGGCCTCGAGCCTCAGCCTGCGGCCCTCGAGGCGGCGGCCTGTTCTGCTCTGGCTCATTGATTTCCCCGGCGGTGCCTCCTCCTCAGTAGCTTCCGCCACGATTCCAGTGACTTATTGTTCAAAGCGCGTGGTTTTTTCCCGTTGGACCTAAGTGATCTCAACGCATTGGCATGTCATGCTCACTGGTCTCCTGTTTCTTAAAGATACACACTCACCTCCCCTTTGTTGTCACTGTTTCTCACCAGCAACTTTTAGAAACCCTGTTTGGGCATCACTGGGCTGACGGGCGCGGCCACCTCCGGCCTGCGCTTTTGTCCCTCCCCTTGTCGTGCCGCCGTCGATGTGTGAAGTGACTGCACACCGGCTGTTCGATGAGACCGGGACTGACCTTCCTGCCCGTTCGGTGCCTTTCCAGGTCCCACTGGCCCACCTTCAACGCTCCCCCTCGGCATGCAGACCTCCGGCGGCACCTCCACCCTGTCCAAGAAGCGGCCCCCGCCACCACCACCTGGACACAAGCGAACGCTGTCGGACCCTCCCAGCCCACTACCTCACGGGCCCTCCAACAAAGGCGCAGTCACCTGGGGTAAGTCACCGAGTCGGGGAGCTGAGGTTCGCAGAAAAGGCCATGTAGCCCACTCAGACCCGCTGGCCAGCGGCACGGCTGGCATTCTAAGCCGGCCTGTCCAGCTCCAGCGTGCGCACCATCACCACTCCTGTGAGCCGTGGGCACGGCACCAAGGAAGCAGGGAGCGAGCGCAATGGCTGGGGAAGAGTGCTCCGAAACCCGCTTTGGAGATGGGCTTTGAAGGTTGCATAAGAATTTACCGCGAGTGGGAGGGGACAGGTGTTGGGGGGGTGGGCAGGTGCTGCAGGGAGGGGACAGGTGTTGGGGGGGTGGGCAGGTGCTGCAGGGAGGGGACAGGTGTTGGGGGGGTGGGCAGGTGCTGCATGGAGGGGACAGGTGTTGCAGGGGCGGTGGGACCGGTGAGCAGGGAGGGGGAAGAGAGAGCTGAGTGACAGAGACATGAACACACAGTGTCTTTGGAGGATGGAGGTCACCTCAGGTGGCCAGAGAACATTCTGTCCGCAAGGCCCAGCCCGCCCTTTGCCAGCCCCTCGCTGCCCTGTGGTTCGGGGGCGGGAGTGGCAGACCCTGCATGTGGGCTGCTCGGCCTCGTGTCCCAGCGCTGACCCTCACCAGCTCCTTGCCCTGGGGCTTGACTGTATTTTGCGTGTGTTTCTTCCTCTATAAGAAGGAGGGTGGTGGGTTGTATTGTGTGTCCCATGAACAGATCACTGTGAGGCACTTAGCACAGAACCTTGCTCACAGGAAGTTCTCAGTGACCGGTCGTTGCCATGGTTCTGTTACCATTGGGGCGCGGTGGTGGCCACGGAGAGCAGGTGGACCTGGGAGTCAGTCTTTCCAGTTCCTTCTGGAACCTCAGGGGTGCTTGTCTGCCAAACCCACATCCCCATATTCCGTTTCTCTGTCGGAGGCTGCGACGTTTCACATTTTCTTTTCCCTGTAGGTAACGATATGGGTCCATCCTCATCAAGTAAGACCACAAACAAGTTTGAGGGGCTGTCTCAGCAGGCGAGGTAAGCCAGCTCTGTCCTGCTGGGCGTGTGGTTGCAGGGGCAGAATCACAGAGATGGGCGTTAGTGCCGGTCTCCTCCACGTGGCCCGCAGCTGTGCTGGTCACGGCGACAGCCTGGCCATTCGCGGCCCCTTGTCACTGGGCCTGGCGCTGCCGGCCGGGCTGGGAGTGGACACCGATCTCTATCCAGCTCCCGGTGGGACGGTCCTCACGTCCCGGAGTCAGTCTGCCAGAATGAGTTTTTATTTTCAGTTTTCCACCTGAAGTCCTTTTGTTCTGGTACTTGCCCTCTGGGCTCCATTTTGCAGGCGTGGGGATGATAGGTAGTCCTCCGTGGAACCGACAGCAGAAGTCCTCGGGCTTAGGGCTACGAGTCTAGGTGCTTTGGAGAATTGTCTGTGGGCAGCACTGCCCAGTCCCAACACGAGGGCTCCGCTAGAGGCCCCGGCTGAGATGAGGACACGAGGCCACTTCCAGACCCAAAATCAGGGAGAAAGTCACCTGGCGTGTGTGGGCACTGCTTTCCAGAGTGTAGCCAAGGCTTAAAACACAAGCCTGCGTTTCTTTAATGCCACTGGTTTTGTCTTGGCAACCTGAGAGGTGGGCCGCTCAGCACGGGCGCACTTTTATAGGTGAGGGTCACTGTGGCCGGCGGTCTCAGCGCTGGACGCAGACCCTGGCTCTGCGCACTCCCCGCCCCGGGTCCCTTCCCTGGCGCCCGCCCTGCCTGCAGGACCTGAGGAAATCACTACCTAGACGTGCCAAGCAAACCCGCTGGCGTTCACCGTTTCCAGCTCCTGGTGGCTTTATCGAAACGACAGTGGGACCCTGCCTGAGGCGGATGGGACCTCAGGTGGCCGAGAGCGCGCAGGCCCCGGGGACCGAGGGCCAGCATGGGAGACACGCGCACACGTCGTCTCTCTGAGCCCCGGTCTTTGCCTGTTGGCTTGGCTTTCCCTGTTCTCTAAAGGCAGTTGGGATAGGAGGGAAAAGCCAGTTCTGGGGACATCCGCGGGCAGAGCGGGAGGAGAGGAGCGGGAGGTTAAAGCAGCTCCTGGCGGGTCGACGGCGCGTGGCTGCTATAGCTCTGGGCCCGGCGCTCCTGTGTCCCGAGTGGCTGCGGCCCCGTCTTAAACGGAAGCAGTGGTCCCAATGATAGATGCCCCCTGTCCGCCGGCACTTAAAGGCCGTAGGTTAACATTTGACCCCTCGCACGACACTGGCGGCCTCCTGTCGCAGGGGCCTGGGCCTTTTCCTGCTCGTTTGCACGGGCTCCCAGAGGCGCCAAGCCCAGGGGAGGGAGGTCACCTAGGAGGACGTGAGGGCTCTGAGTCCAGCAGAGCTGCGTCTGGATTTCCATGTCCTTCACCCACCAGCCTCGCTCGGGGACCAGCGCTCGGGGCCTCTGCTGGTCACTGCGGTCTCCTCCTCTGACAGTGGGGCTGGCGGCCGGGGACAGGACCAGCTGCTTTCGCGGCCGGTGCCCTGGGAAAAGGCTGGGAGGAGGAGGAGTTAGTCGGAATCATTCAGAAACACCCTCCCAGCCGGGCAAACGTTGACTGATGGAAACTAGACCGTATCCTTTTGCTAAAGAGATCTGGCAAGGGTTCTTAGATGGTTCAGCACCGCCTCCGATTTCCTTAAATAACCTATCACCACCGATATTATGACACTTTTAGGTCCTAACTGATTGTTTTTATTAATTAGCACCGGTTCCGCGAAGTCTGCCCTTGGCCCGAGAGTTCTGCCTAAACTACCTCAGAAAGGTAAGGCCTCTCTTGTCTGCGGAGAGACCATCTCTTTTCTCCCTACACTCCTTTGCAGCTCTGCGTGAAATATTATTATACATTTCTTATTACAAAAGTGATACCTGTTCATTCTAGGAGATTTGACAAATACAGGTAAGCAAAAAGGAGAACATAAAAACCACCTGAAAATGCAAGCAACCGAGACAAGCTGGTGGGCCCATCCTTTTACTCACTTTTCTGTGCTTTCCATACGTTTCCGTTTAAACTGATTTTTGTTGCTTGGTAAATCAGAAACGTTTCACATGGTACATAAAACACATTTGCCTAACGGGTCACTTTTCCTGGCTGCCTAGTATTCCACTGCCTGGTGCCAGGATATGTTAAGCAGTCTCTGGTACTTAGTGGTCACGTAGTTTTGGGGTTTTCCTCACCATAAACAGTGCCGTGCTGAACATGGTAGCACAGACATCTCGGTGCCTGGCTCCATCGCTGCTCCGGGATGGATTTCTAGGATCAGGGTGCCCAGATCCCTGCTCTGGGGTGGATTCCTAGGATCAGGGTGCCCGGCCCAGATCCCTGCTCCGAGATGGATTCCTAGGATCAGGGTGCCCGGCCCAGATCCCTGCTCTGGGGTGGATTCCTAGGATCAGGGTGCCCGGCTCCATCCCTGCTCTGGGATGGATTCCTAGGATCAGGGTGCCCGGCCCAGATCCCTGCTCTGGGGTGGATTCCTAGGATCAGGGTGCCCGGCTCCATCCCTGCTCTGGGGTGGATTCCTAGGATCAGGGTGCCCGGCCCAGATCCCTGCTCCGAGATGGATTTCTAGGATCAGGGTGCCCGGATCCCTGCTCTGGGGTGGATTCCTAGGATCAGGGTGCCCGGCCCAGATCCCTGCTCCGAGATGGATTCCTAGGATCAGGGTGCCCAGATCCCTGCTCTGGGGTGGATTTCTAGGATCAGGGTGCCCGGATCCCTGCTCTGGGGTGGATTCCTACGTTCCCGGCCCAGATCCCTGCTCTGGGGTGGATTCCTAGGATCAGGGTGCCCGGCCCAGATCCCTGCTCTGGGGTGGATTCCTAGGATCAGGGTGCCCGGCTCCATCCCTGCTCTGGGATATATTCCTAGGATCAGGGTGCCCGGCTCCATCCCTGCTCTGGGGTGGATTCCTAGGATCAGGGTGCCCGGCCCAGATCCCTGCTCTGGGGTGGATTCCTAGGATCAGGGTGCCCGGCTCCATCCCTGCTCTGGGATGGATTCCTAGGATCAGGGTGCCCGGCCCAGCCCAGATCCCTGCTCTGGGGTGGATTCCTAGGATCAGGGTGCCCGGCCCAGATCCCTGCTCTGGGGTGGATTTCTAGGATCAGGGTGCCTGGCCAGGGTCCATCGCTGCTCTGGGTTTTTCTTCCTTTATTTATTTATTTTTTAATTTTACGACTGTCTCTCTCACTGAGTTGGATTCTTAGGGTGACAGCTTTTTCGTTGACTCACTCAGCGTGCTTAGTCAGCTGTTTTCTTGCTGAGCCCTGTGTGACTGGCCCCTGCGCCAGGAGCCAGGGCTGCAAACGAGTGAAAATGCGAATCCTGGCTCCAGGAAACCTGGCTGACAGTGAGAAGATGCTCTAGTGCAGCGGTTCCCAACCTGTGGGTCGTGACCCCTTTGGCGGTCGAACGACCCTTTCACAGGGGTTGCCTAAGACCATCCTGCGTATCAGATATTCACATGACGATTCATAACAGTAGCAACATTACAGTTATGAAATAGCAACGAAAATAATTTTATGGTTGGGGGTCACACAACATGAGGAGCTGTACTTGAAGGGCCAGAAGGTTGAGAACCACTGCTCTAGTGGGATGCTGAGAGCTGCCAGCTCCCGTCGGCCAGTTCCTGCTTCGAGTAACTCGTGTTAGCAGGCAGCAAGGTGAGGCACAGAGAGGTTGTGTGAGTGTCCAAGGTCACACAGCTGGAAAGTAAGTGGTGGAGCTGGACTCGGAGACGTGTCCTCGGTCCTGAGTTTTCCGGGACAGAGCTGTGCCAGGAGCAGTGGGAATGGTCCCCGGGCACCCGTCCCAGGCTGTGGTGGGCACGCAGCCCAGCGCCGAAGGGAAGAGGAGGAACCGACTTAGAAATGCCCCCAAACCTATTCAGTGGGGAATAAGTCAGAGTTGCAGACAGTGTAGATGTTGTGGCCCCGTTTATGGTTTATTGTCATGTTTATTCATGAGCACATGTACCTGGGTCCCCAAAATGTGATGGGTGGTGGGGGGAGAGAAACCTCTTCCTACTGACGCTAAGGAGTTTTTATTAGCTGGCAAATGCTCTTGCAAGACAGTGTATAGATGAAAGCAGACAAAAGCTTTATGTCTGGAAAATACACTAAAAAGTCAAAAAGGAAATACAAAAACCTATTTGCAATGGCTACAGTTAGGTGATGGACTTCTGGGGACTTTGAACTCTGTACTTTCCGACTTTCACCTGTGTTGTTCATGGTTGTGGGGTTTTTAATTGCGGACTCGTTCCGACATCCTTGCCTGCGTCACTGAGCGTAACACGAGTTGTGACGTGGGAGGCTTCCAGGCTCCCGCTCCTGTCTGTTTAACAAGAGCTCCAGGTGCTCACGTGGGTCGTGCTCAGCAGGTGCCCCCTGTCCGCCCCGTGACCCCCCTCTCTGGCCTGTTCCCGCAGTGGCACTCCGGAAGACCGAGACCAGCCACCACCTCTCCCTGGACAAGGCCAGCATCCCGCCCGAAGGCGTCCAGAAATCGGCGCCGCTGGCAGACCTACCCCAGAAGCCCCCTGGAGACCTGCCCCCGAAGCCCACCGAGCTGGCGCCCAAGCCCCAAATCGGAGATCTGCCACCTAAGCCAGGAGAACTGCCCCCCAAGCCTCAGCTGGGCGACCTGCCCCCCAAGCCCCACCTCTCAGACCTGCCCCCCAAACCACAGATGAAGGACCTGCCTCCCAAACCGCAGCTGGCGGACCTGCTGGCCAAGGCCCCGCCCTCCGACGTCGCCCCGAAGTCGCACTCGGTGGATCTCTCCCCGAACGTGCCGGCCCGCGACGCCATCCAGAAGCAGGCCTCCGAGGACTCCAATGACCTGACGCTCGAGATGCCCGTGCCGCTGCCCAGGAAGATCAACACGGTGGGTCCGAAACCGGGGTGTGGGGTAGGGGGCTCAGGCAGCAGGAGCGGGGTCAGCAGGCCACGGAGGGAGAAACCAGGCACCACAGGAAGGGGTGCTCTTTCTGTGGCTGACTGTTGACTGCGCTGGGCGCCCAGCACGTCCTCTGCGAGGTCATTTCCCCATTTCCATCTTCCTGTTTGCAAAGAACTGGAAGTTCAACAGATCAGAGCCCAAGTCAAGTTGGTCAAACCTCAGAGCTTTGGGGAAGTGCCCGGTGCCGGGCCAGCTCCTGCTGATGCTGCTTTGCATGCAGCCGGGAAATGTGTTTGCGCTGCACATCGAGTGGCAGGAGCTGCAGATTTGCTTTGCATCATGCTTCCCAAATCCATTTTTAGACTCTGCGTCATCCTGGCCTTCCGGGGGAGGCGGGGGGGCGTGCTGTGTCCCTGGTGGAGCCGGACTGTCCCCTGCCCTCATGGTGAAAGTGATGGCCGATGCCCGCTCGCCCCGGCCGGGCTCTCCCCTGATGCCGGGGGAAGGCACAGGGACTGTGGCATCTTGAGATGTCTCGGTACACGGAGCCCATGGCAGACCTGCTCCGCGTTCACAGCGGAGAAACTGAGGCTCAGGGAGGTCCCGCCCCTGCCTATGGCCAGCGAGCCCTGTGCTCCCTTTGGTCAGGCCTGGCGGCTCACAGCCCGTCTCTGTGCTGCAGGGGAAAAACAAGGTGAGGCGCGTGAAGACCATCTACGACTGCCAGGCCGACAACGACGACGAGCTGACCTTCATCGAGGGCGAGGTGATCATCGTCACCGGGGAGGAGGACCAGGAGTGGTGGGTACGTACCCGCACTGTTCCTTCCCCTCCCGGTTCCCTCAGGCGTGGGCTGCACCTGCGGGGCCCTGCCCGCCCTGCTGGGAGCTGTGCCCTGCACCCCGGGTCCCTGCCCTCCTGGTGGGGACCATCAGTCCCTGTCTCACCTGCCAGAGCAGCTGTGGGTCAGGGAGTTCACGTGGGATGCGCTTCAGCCATGGTCACACCAGGGGGATTCTTCACATTTTCCCGGTGCAAACCCAGAGCTCCGGGAAACATGTTGCCCGAGGCATGTGGCGGGTCAGTGGGCAGTGCCGGTCCCGAGCCTGGTGCTCGCCTGCCGTGGGCTGGACACAGCCGTGCTCCAGGCCCTCTGTGCTGCGGGTCCGTCACGGAGGGACCGACAGGTGACCTGGCCGGGCTCTCAGAGCCCCTCCCCTCGGTCATCGGAGCCGAGTGCAGGTCTTGTTACGTTTCCCACGACGGGCCTCCCATAATCAGCTCCCACAGACGTAACAGCTAGAAGCTTCTGCAGGAGACAGGCCAAGGCTCAGGCAGCAGCCAGGGAACCTGCCGGGGCCACAGTGCTCTCGAACCTGCACACATCTTCCCCCACAGCGGCCAGGACACAGGCCCAGTCCACAGCAGCCCTCCCAGATGCAGGGCGTTCTCTGTCATCTCACAAGCAGCCGAGGGAAGGGTGTTTAGCCCGTGTTACAGGCAGGAGGCTTAGCACGCTGGGTCCCACTCGCCCAGAGGGAGAGCAGCCGAGCCCCTAAGAGCACACATTTCATTCTGTTTCTAACGCACGTGGCCTCTTGGTTTCTCCCCCACCTGTGTGTCCACCACCCCAAGCCAGGTCTCCCTCCATCACCTTTTACCCCCTTCCCCCTCACTGCCTCCCCCGCCTCCCTCCCTCTGGCACCACCACACTGTGGTCTGTGTCTGTGAGTGTTTGTTTATGTGTTTGCTCTGTCCCTTCACCTTTTCCACCCAACCCTCCCCTCTGACCGCTGCCAGCCTGCTCTCCGTCTCTGAGTCTGTGTCTGTTTTGTTAGTTTTGTTCATGCGATTCCCCAAACGCGAGCGATCCTGTGGTGCTTGTCTCCCTCTGACTGACGCTCTCACTGAGCGTAGGGCTCTCCAGGTCCCTTCCTGTAGACCAGCGGTTCTCAACCTGTGGGTCGCGACCCCTTTGGCGGTCAAACGACCCTTTCACAGGGGTCGCCTAAGACCATCCTGCATAGCAGATATTTACATGACGATTCATAACGGTAGCAACATTACAGTTATGAAGTAGCAACGAAAATAACGTTATGGTTGGGTCACAGCATGAGGAGCTGTATTTGAAGGGCCAGAAGGTTGAGAACCACTGCTCTAGACAGTGAGGATTCCCGCGGGCTGCCGGGCCCTGGGCCAGCGGGCCTGCCTCCACCTGACGCCTCTTGCTTCTCCCCCCAGATCGGCCACATCGAGGGAGAGCCCGAAAGGAAAGGGGTCTTTCCTGTGTCCTTTGTTCACATCCTGTCCGACTAGCGAGAAGGAGAACCTGAGACTGTCCACACCCTTCATGGCTGACACCGTCTCCGCTGCGCCCTGTGCACACGTGTATATAGCTGCTGTTACAGAACCTGGCCCGCCCGGGGCGCCCAGGAGGGAGCGTGGTGTGTGTTGTAAATAAATGCCCTGTTATCTTCCGCCTTTGCCAGTATTAATGGGAGCCTGGGACCGGCGTCTTCCTGGTTTGCCAAAGCCATCCTGGCATCTAGCACCTACATCTCTCTCTGCCGTTTTCCAAGCAAGCAGGAGCCTAGGAACCGCCGGCTTTGCAAACAGAAGTGGTCTCAGCTGCACCCAAAGGCACAGCGTGGACTGTGCCCAGCGGCGGTGTTATCCCCGTTACTGAGCGAGCACGGTCGCCGGGCGGCCTGTCTTCTGGGGAGACTCTGAGCTCCGACAGGCCGCCTGCAGTCTGTGTTCACAGTTTACAGCTCCAGCGCCCACCGGGCATCTATGACAGCAAGTGCTCGGTTAAACGTGAGTGTGATCCCTTCAGCAGAACAGTCAGGACCCCAGCCTCGGGGGCACGCACGGCGCCACCCCTCGCGCAGGTCGGCCAGTGGACTCAGACGTCCCGGGAGCAGTGCCCGCCCCAGACGTTACCTCATTATGCAAAGATGACGTAGCCTTCATGACGATTCGGACAGAAGCTAATGCCCTCGGTGACGTTCCTCTTTCAGGCCCGAGGGCTGCCAGGAACTCAGCCTCCTCGCCATGCATGCGTTAGACGCCTCCGGAGCCTGCCTTCCGTAAAGGACCGCGGAGCCGGTGGCCTGCACACTTTAACCTGATTGCCATTAAAAGCAGAGATGATAAGGTTGCGACGATGTTTGTGTCTAGTCAGCCCCGTGGCTTTCTCTCACGTGTGTGGCTCTCCCCGTCATGTTATGAATTAGCACCCTTCCCGTGTGAAAGCATCTCGTGCGTCCTTCTACATTATGTTCGGAGCTCTGTCCCTGACATATTTAAACCCTTCAGGGATTAGTCAGGAGGAGGACGGGTTAGAAGTCACCCTGCCCTCGGTCTCCCCACCGTCGAACCAGCTGCTGAAACCGACCTTTTCTTCCTCCTGGCTCTTGGTTAAACCCTGATCGTAGGAAGTCCCCAGCCCCAAGCCCTGTTCGGTAGACACATCAACTCCAAGTCAGCCCATCACCGAGGTCCTGGGGCTGCTGTCACCCCACTGTGGGGAAAGCTCTTCCCCCCATGAGGCCCCTGTTGGTTTCCTTCTCACCCAGTGCGTGGGTCAGACCGGCAGGAACGCTGCGGCTGCGCCGGCCTTTCACGTGAGTCAGGAATTTGTAAAGAATACAGCGGGTTCACTCCCCCACCAGTGGGGCTGTGCCCTGACCAGGGCCCGTGTGTTGTTCTGCCATCGCATTTGCTTAAACTGCTCTGTTGGCAAAGCGCACAGGAAGCAGCTTTCTTAAGCAGATCATCTTGACAGTGAGTGAGGCGTGTTCATTTCACAAAAGCGCAATCCCTCCTGAGCCCTTAGGGAAAGCCGTCATTGACCGTCGCTGCGGTTCCGCGCACATGGTCGCCAAGAGAGCTTGGGGCCGCCACTGGGTTAGGAAATGGCGTGGCAGGCCTGCCGCCCCCCTCAGCTGTGACTCCCGCGGCCAGGGACCTGGGGTGTGGCCGGCGGTGTCTGCAGCCTCAGGACGTAGGCCACCCTGGTGTCAGGGCAGGAAGTCACCCTCCCACGTCTCTCAGTATCCCGGTTCAGTTACACGTTTTCAGTTGCATTAAAAAACTCATCTTTGCAGCCCACAGTGTTTTAACTGATCTCAAAATAACTGGCTTCTTAAAACACACACACACAGACTAGATGTCTGAGACGACGTGGAATCCATGTCTGCTCTTCTTCCCCTTCCCAGCACCGTGAACGCGTTTTTCACACCCTTTCCCCTTTCGGGTTTGTCTCCGTTTCCCATCAGGAATCTGAGCGCTCTCCAGCCCGCTGGCCCTGGGGCGCCTCTGCTGGTCTTAGTTGAGTTGATATCTGGTCATTGTTCTGAAACTCGGTGAGCCACTCTCTGCAGTTTTGTACGTGAGGTAGTGTTTTGAAGGTGTGGAGCCTTACGGGGAAGAAATAGCTAATGAGTGCTCTCTTCCCCCCGAGGGGAGCGGTGTGTTCTGCAAATAGCGTGTCTTATTTTCCTGTTGAACAGCGATGCTATTTATTTTTTTATTGCCTAGGACTCCAGCCTGTTGTATAGCCTCCCGTGGACCACTCGCTAAATCCCGACTCCCACCTGGACATTTCCCTTGGACATCAGTACTCTCGTCCGTTCCCGTGTGTTTAATGTGACAGTGTTTTTTCAGTACTGTATGTGTTCATTTCTACTTTTTTTAATATTTAAAATTGCTTTTAAATAAACATATTCTCAGTTGATCCCAAACATCTGCCATCAGGCCATTCTGTGAGCTGCCCACTCCTCCTCCGATTGGAGAAGACCAAGACCCCTGGGCTGTGTGGTGAGGGTAGAGATAACACAGGTCCTTGCAGCTCCCATGTAAAAGCTCAATTTGGATGCATGAAAATGTGCATCTGGCCCTGGCTGGTTTGGCTCAGAGGATAGAGCATCGGCCTGCGGACTGAAGGGTCCCGGGTTCAATTCCCATCAAGGCCACGTACCTGGGTTTGCAGACTCTGGCATGCAGGAGGCAACCAATCAATGTGTCTCGCTCACATCGGTGTTTCTGTCTCTCCCTTCCCCACTCTCTAAAAAAAAATCAATGGGAAAAAAATGTCCTCGGTGAGAATTAAAAAATGCATCCATTTCCTGGTCTTACACAACATGGCCCTCCACATCTTGCCCCCCTTTCCCACTCCCACCTCCCCGGCACCCACGTATGGCCCTGTTTATGGGGAAGCATGGGGGGAGGGAGGAGCGGTTGCTGCTCAGACCACATGCTGTAAGTTGCTGTTAGCCTGGGGCTGCCCTGTGGGGAGCAGACCCAGGGCCGGACACCTGCCTGCATCCTCCTCACAGCCCATGAAAGGCAGGAGCCTTCCGCTTCCTGGAGCCGGTAAATTAGGCTCCAGTTCACTTCCAGCAGGAGACGTCATCCTATATTATAAAAGCCTAATATGCAAATTGACAACAGTGGAACGACAGGTCGTTATGACGTGCACTGACCACCAGAGGGCAGATGCTCAACGCAGGAGCTGTCTGCAGGCCCCAGGCCAGCCAAGGCAGATGCCAGCAGGGGGGCCCCGCCGGTCGCCCCACAGAGGGAGATGACCGGCGAGCAGGCGGCACCAGGCTGGCCAAGGTGGGTGCAAGTGGGGGACCCCGATCACCCCGCTGGTCGCCCCACAGATGGGCCCTGATCACCAGCCAGGCCTAGGGACCCTACCCATGCACGAATTTTGTGCACCGCGCCTCTAGTGGTTAATAAATGCCTGAGTCAGGAGCCCAGACAGGGATCCTGCCACATGGAGACAGTCCCCACCACAGCGCTCTAACCAGAGACAGCGGTGAGAGCTGACGGGGCCAGGGCATGGTAGGCTGAAGTGTCGGTCTCCTCGTTTCCTTCCAACCAAGTGGGCAGGACCCACCCTGCACATGTTGCCGGGAGGAGGGCTTGGGCCGGGACCGGGAGAGGAACAGGGAGAGACCGACATGATTACCTGGATAATGCAGGCAGCAGGGCAGCGGGGTGTCCATCCGACTACACGAGGGCGCCATGCTGGCATGTTGCAAACCTGGGACAGGATCTGTGTGAAGTTGATGGACACACCATTGGAAGGCAGCCACCAGTGCACGAGGCCCCTCTGCCCCCCCCCCCCCCCCCGCCCCAGCCCTCTCCCGCGTGTCCTGTACATACGTCAGTCCTCCTCGAGGTAACGTCCTCCTGAGACATGCCTTTGGGTAAGGAAATCACTCACGGAGCTGGAGTGACCTCCCGGTCACAGTAAGTCCTGGGGCAGTGGCAGCCCCGGTCTCCCCCCACTCCCTCCCCAGCCTGCTCTTCCCCTAACCCTGCGTCCCCCCCTCTCCGGGGATGTGGGTGTCCCTGTGGCTGGGTGGGTGGAGGTGATAATTACTAGGGTAATTCTACATCTGCTGTACTTGCCCCCCCCCCCCCCCCAACACACATGTCCTCATCTGTCCTGAATGGCCGTCTTGTTTGCAGTCTGCCGATGCGCTCACCCCTCGAGCCAGGGCCTGGCTGAGGGTGTGCACCCCGCCCCACAGGGATGGGTGCCACACCTCCAACCTGGCCTCGCAGCCCACAGCCGGGTGAAGGTGAGGTCAGCTCAGCCACACTGCCTACCCCTGAACATTCTTTCTGCTGAAATGCTGCCAAGACTGTGGGTGCAAAGCCGTGCCGTGCACTGGGTTCCTGAGGAGGTTGTGGGTGGGGCAAGGGGGTGACTAAGTCACTTAGGGGGCGGGGAGCTTGCTGGAGGAAGTTGGGTGCGCTCCTCCTGGGCCTGCGGGGGAGCAGGTGAAGGCAAGCAGCTGACGCAGGCGGGAGGGACAGCTGGCGAGGCAGCAGGCCAAGGGCTCTGTCAGCAGGGTCGCGTTCCTGGACAACGCTCCGCGGTAGAACTCTGATTGCCCCCATTTTACAGTTTGGGAGACTGAGGCTCAGGGAAGCCAAGGCAAAGTCAAGTTGCTCGTGAAGGGCAGAGGCTGGACTTAAACCCCGAGGTCGGGCCCTCGCGGCTCCCGGCTGTGACCCTGGGCTTCCCTTTCTGAGGAAAAGCGGGTCAAAGCCGGTCACCCTCCCAGGGACAGGTCCGCCGGCCGGGGAGTGGAAACCACGGGACACGGTGGCGTTTCCCATTCAGAGAAGGCACAGCATCTGCCAGAGGGGCTGGCACCGGGGTGTCCTGCACCTGCAGGATGTGACCGAGGAGAACAGCCAGTGAGCGAGCGTCATCCGTGAGCACAGCAGCCCGTAGGCAGACGCCGAAGCTGCTAAGCTCCTGAAAGCAGGAATTACAGCTCAGAAGCAGCTGTTTTGCAAAAATCTTACCACACAGCAAACGCGAGCAGAGGCTCAGAGGCCAAAGCGGTGACCTTCTGCAAAACCGCCAGGGACAAGCCTCGTTCAGCTTCACGTTCTTGAGGACAGAATTTTGAGTTTTGCTTTACAGGTAAGTCCAAGCAGATTTGAGGACAAGGGATGGCCACTGTGTTCCCTGCACCCTGGCCTGACACCACATCAGGGCCAAGCTCTCAGATTTGGGAGCATCACCTGGGGCCTCGGTATTAGAGTCGGCTTCCCGGGCCCTGCCCCTGGGGTCTCGCAGGGGCCTGGGGTTCGGCCTTTCGCCAGCATCCCCAGGGGAGGCCCAGGTCCTCCCCGGACCACTGCTCAGCCCCTAAGAATCTAGAACTGACTCCAAAAAAGGGAGGGTCACCCAGAGTCCTGAACTCTGCCCGGGGGTCCTGCTAATAACGGTGAGCCCCTCCTTACCGCCCAGCCCCACACACCTCCAGCCGCCACTCGCCTGCCACCTTAAGGGGCAGTGACAAGGATGGGGGATCTGGAGTTGGATAGGCTGCTCCCCTCCCCTTCTCCCTCCCATGGGCTGCTTACCAGCAAATGTGTCCCGTGGGCAGGCGTGGAAAGGCCTCCTGTGACGGCCCCTCCCTGTGTGACCTGGGGACACCGGTTCTTAGACGCAGCACAGAGCGCAGAGGCTATGGCCTTGCAGATACAGCACTGCTCAGACGCCCACCAGGTGCTGGAGGTGGGGGGTGCAGGGGGGGCATCCCTAAAAGCCAATGTGCATTTCCCCAGGCTCAGCTCTGGCTTCCCCGGTCCAGCCCAGTGTGAGCCAGCAAGCAGGGCCTGGTGCCCACCCCCGACCCCCACCTCTGCCTCCACAGTTCTGCCCGCCCCTGAGGGTGGCAGCTCTGGGGCCTGGCCTGGCGCATCATGGCCACTTGTTGCCCAGGGGGGCAGGATGAGGGGAGCTTAAGGGTCAGGTGTGGGAATCAGAGGACCATGGCACTGAGCCCGAGCCCCAGCCTCGGTGTCCTCCTCTGCCCACTGGGATATCGGTGCAGAGTGAGGGTGGGGGTTCTGTAATAACGAGGCGGTGCCGGGAGAGTGCGTGGCCCCTGATGCTCGACTCCTGGCAGCACAGGGGAGTTCTCAGCACTTGTCCTCTCAGGGACTTTAAACGTCACCATCCCTGGTGACAAGTGAGAGATCAGTCACCATCTGGTCGGTGCCTGACATGCACCTGTGGAAGCATCTGCACGAGCACCCGCTGTTGAAAGCAGGTGATGGCACGGGGAGCATCTTATTTTCTTCCTTCCTTCCTTCCTTTTCTTTCTTTTTAACATATTTTTATTGATTTCAGAGAGGAAGGGAGAGGGAGAGAGCGAGAAATAGAAACAGAAATGATCGGCTGCCTCCTGCACGCCCCCCACTGGGGATCGAGCCCACAACCCGGGCCTGTGCCCTGATCGGGAATCGAATGGTGACCTCCTGGTTCATAGGTCGACATGCAACCCCTGAGCCACGCCGGCCGGGCGGGCATCACACTTTCAAAGGCCCAGGACACCCACCGGCCGAGGTTCAGAGCCGGAGCCCCGTCCCCAGCGGCTCTGTCCACTCGAAGGGACAGTGCTGACTCCCGGCCCGTGAGCAGGCGTCCGCACAATGGGCCTCTTTCACGGGCGGCGAGCCCAGGGCCACAAGAACGCATTGTCTGGCGGGCAAGCTCAGTTCCTGCTCAGCTGGAGCCGCTTGGCAAACTCAGACCCCAGGGCTCCCGGCCCGGCCGGCTCCGGGTGCCAGTCCGCGCCTCCCCTGCCCGGCTCCTGTCGCCCCCGCCGCCGGGAGGCAGCTCTGGAGCCCACGGGGCAGCGAGCGCACCCAGGCTGTCCGCTCGCCCTCCGGACTCGTGCCGGTGGCCTGGGGTCCACGTGCCCGCCTCAGGGGTCAGCCAAAGTGGAAGGTGCCAGGTTGGTGACCGGCTGGTGAGGAAGGAGAAAGGAAGCTGAGGGCAGGGAGAGAGGCAGAGACTAGGAGCCGCGTCCAGTGAACTCACCTGAGAGCCCAGGCCGCCCAGGCCGGGAAGTGCTGGCGCGTCCATGTCACAGCAGGACCACCTGGGAGAGCAGGAACCTGAGAACAGCCCGAGTGCCCATCGACAGTAGGATGGCTGAGCAAATCGGTCTTTCTTCTCGCTGTGTCCACAGTAACCAGGACGCACACGGTCCCACCACCCACCGCCGCACGGACGACTGTCCCACACCATGTCGGCGCCAGAGCCAGGCTCGAAATAATTCACCTTGGATTCTCCGTACTGTACAAAAATAGGGGATCTCTATGGTTACGGGGCAGCGTCGTGTTTACCCAAAGGGGGGCTTGAAGGGGCTGCTGGGGAGAGGGATGTGCGGGGGGCAGATACTGCTCTCTCTCTTTC